CAACATTATTAGCTTTCAACACACTGCCTAATTGTTGTGTCGATAAACAAGCCTCCGATTACATCTCCAAAATACTAAATAAAACATGTTCTTTGACCTCACAGGAAAAAGCCTCGGGAAAGCAAAGCAAATATTAGAGTGGCATCCTTTAAAAACATGCAATTAAGATTTTTAACGGGGAGATTGATCGATTACAAACAAACCTGTGATAATTCTTCTTGGTTTGATGAATCGGATTATTCACGACTGCTATGAAAATTGGTTCAACAAATAAGAGACATACATAACATTTTAGACATACTTCAGAGTTATATGTTGAAAATGTTTGTGTTTTCACTCTAAAATTAACTGTTAATTATGTATTGAATGGAATTTTCAATATTATCAAAGTAAAAGGTGCCTTCTACTGAAATTATTTATTATTATTTTCTTATTTTATTTGGTTGGGACACGGAGGCCTGTGTTTATTTGGTTGGGATGAGCTTTATGGCAGTTCTGATTAATTGCTCTATATGTTGAAAATGTTTGTGTTTTCTCTCTAAAATTAACTCTTTTAATTACCAGATTTTGTTTTATTTTGTATTGACGCAAAACAGACTAGAGTCCTTAAACTTTTGAACGGATAGAGGATTACTAAAATCATCCACAGAGGAATGTAGGGAAACATTTGTGGGAAGCCAGGACCCTGTAAGTGTCCTGGATTCTGGACATAGACAGTATTTTAGTGCTGATGTGACCCATAGTGTTTGCCAAATGTGGCAGAAGTTGATTTGAAGATAAGCTAGCTGGAGAAAATGTCCTTATATGGGCATTTGTTTCGACGGCGTTAGCTCCGTGCTGCAGTAGTGTTGCTAAGACGGTTGCTATTGCCGCAGGTGGAGTTGTGTTGCTGTCATTCCATCTCAGAAACTCAGTTGAATATTCTAGTAATCTTTTGAATTCCCAAAATGAAAACGTTTATGAGGAGCTGTAACACTTCAATCCCATGTGTGATTTAAGGATAAGGAGTGATATGAGTAATTTTCTATCTGTTCAAAAGTTTCAGGACTCTACCTTTTGTCTGTTTCACAAAAAAAAAAAAAAAAAAATCTCTGGCAATTAAAGGGTTAATTTTAGAGGGAAAAAAAAAACAGACATTTTCAACATATAATTTTGAAATATGTCTGAAATGATTTAAGGACACTTAACCAATGTGTGATTTGCACTGTTGACGTGTGATGATCAGAGTACTCCGGTAAATCCAGTCTCTGTTGGATCCTTACTAATAATATCAACCCCTTTAATGTTCACTTCTTGAAGAAAGCAATGTATAAAAATATATAAATTATTTTCGAAAAGCTGTAGGAACACTAATAACAAAAATCATTTATTTTTATTTTTTTACCCCCTAGATTTTTTTTATTCAAGGCATCTACCAAATGGTTAAGATGAAGCTTGAAGGTAAAAATGCCTATAAAGTTAAATTCCCCAATGTGATAGATAACAGTTCCAAGCTTCAAGAGAACATTCATATTTTTAAAAGTAGGCTCAAGACACACCTTTTTAGATTAGTTTTTATTATTCCATTCTATTTATCTTTTATTATTTATTATATTGCTATTGCTATTATTCATGTATTGTGTGTTCCTTTTAGTCTCACATTTTAGTGTTTTACTTATTGTATTGTTTTTAGTGTACCCAGTGTTTCCTCTGGAGGAGCCCTCTGCACTGGGAGCAGTGGTCGGTGTGGCTGCGGGGGTCGGACTCTTGGGCCTGGTGGGGGCCTGGGGCCTCGGTTTCATGTCTCCTCTGGGTCCTGTGTCGTCCCCTGTGGCTACGGGCGGCTCTCTGCTCCTGGTGCAGACGGCTCCTTGGATGACGCTTTTTCAGCTGGTTGCATCTGAACCCTGCCATGTCTCTCATCATGGTTTTATGGTTTTATTGTTTTACTGGTGCGTGTGCGTGTGCGTGCGTGTGTATGAGTGTTCATGAGAGCGTGTGTGTGTTGTTTGGGGTGGGTCTGTTTGGATGGTCGGGGGGAGGGGTCATGGGCCGGCGGGATTGTTTTTAACCAAACTGTAAAGAACTTTTTGTTGCATCTTTTGTATGAAAAGCTCTTTATAAATAAAATTTGATTGATTGAAGTAGATTATGACTTAAAGTGAAAAGTGATTATTATTTTCAGAAAAACAAGGGAGACTCTTACACAATAAATAATACATACATTGACCACACACTGCAAAAACGTGTCTCAAAAACCCAAGAAACAATAGCTACTGTTAGGGGGAATTTAATTTTTCCACTTTGTTGAAACAAGTGAAAAACATCCTTCCGCTGAGTTGTTTACACGCCTAAAGTCTAACTCCTCAACAATTAAAAATACATTTGCTTATAATTACTTTAAATATCTAAGATGGTCGGAGCAAAATCATTTTCTTGAAACAACAAACATTATCTTAAAAGTATCTTCAGCCTGGATGAGTAAAAAAAAAGTGTGATTAGATAAATACATTGAAATCAAGTCAACCACACCAGTCTATATTCTCACTTTTTGCAGTGCATTGCTATAAAGGCCACAGGGTTCAAAAGTACTGCTGATAGATAAAATAAATAGATATTATTTCAGAGATTATGATTTGTTTTTAACTGATTGTATCGTGTGGGTAAATTGATTAGAACATGTTCCTAGATGCTTTGATGGCGACCAATTCCAAACAGTATTGTAGCGTTGATAGAATTTCTGAAGATGGAAATATTGGCGTCAGAACGAGGCGTCACCGAGACACATTCATCACGCCGTGCTTTATTAGATTGATAAATGTGTGCAATTACTGAAAATGAATATGTAAATGTTTACTTAAGTAAGACCTCCAGCGCTGCTATTTTCTTCTGTTTGCCTCAGTATTAATTAGAAGCAAGAGAATGTTGAAATACAAACTGTAATGAGGGCGACGGAAGAAAACTCATGTGCTGTGGTCGAGAAGAAATGTTAAATTGAAATTATTGCCGGTGCTTTTGATTGTAGGCACGGAAAAGTCATAGCACCTGCATTGATTCATTGATTAGATATACTTACTATATCATTTAAAACACAAATGGATGTGTTAAAGTCACCGTAAATATTCAGTATTGAAAAAAATAACTACTTCCAAGCCAATAAATGCTCATTGGCTTGGAAGTAGAATTATATTGTAAAACCAATCGTCGTTAAAAAATTGCTATTAGACTTCTGAACTCTGTAACTTGTTGGTGATATAGACTTTGTTTTTTTTGAGTTTATGATGTAAATGTGCACTTTAATGAATTCTCTGCATTTGACCCATCCTGATACCACCAGGGCTTCTGTAAGGAGCAGTGGTCGCCGTAGTAACAGCGGCCGGGGATCCGTCTACAGATGTTGATACTCGGCTTGGTCAGGACCGGAGCTGGAGGATTATACCTACTGTGCATGTTTTTTAGAGGTAGGAGAAACCGGAGCACCCAAAGGAAACATGCACAGACACGGAGACAACATGCAAACTCCACTCACAAAGACCCTGTTCCGACCAGGATTCGAATCCATGACCTTCTTGCTGAGAGTGCCATCCTCAGCCACTGTGCAGAGTTATGTTGACATGTTTATATGTTTTCCACTTCCTGTCATATCGCTTATGTGACTGTGTTTGTATATAAAAAAAAGCTCTGTGCTGCTCAAGCGAATTACCCCTGATGGGATGAATAAAGTTGTCTGAATCTGAATCATTCCTCCTTATGCAATACAATCTCTAAAGCCATTTGTCAAGCCGCTCCTAGTCATTCCTCAAAACTCATTGGCTCTACATCTCTAGCCACAGCTGCCTTGAGGTTGACTAAAGGGATTGTGGCAGCCATCAAACTCTCCTTACAATTATCCCCCTAAACATACAGACTTCTCATACAATGGAATGGATTAAAAAAAAACATTAATATTAGAAAAGGCAGAGTAAAATTCCAGACCTGATCAAAGAAAGAATCAATGTAACTTTTGTTTTATGTTGCGGTGAAAAGTCGGTGAAAGTTCTTTAGTTTTGTTAAGTATGTCTCGAGCCTATAGGGACTAGCATTTCTTTAGCATTTAGGCTTTAATCTGGCATATTTAACAGCTGTTAGATAACGTGCCCTTTAACACCACTTCCATAAAAGGACCTCATGATCTCGGGGGAAATGTTGGTGAGAAAACCGTCAAAGCACTGAATATGAAAAGTATGTGATGTTTTGTTTTGTTTATACAATCATTATGAACTGGTATGAAACCTGGATGAATTCACCTGGTAGTTGGCTGATTTCTCCAGGAGCTTTCTTTGCCTGGAGTCTAACTTGCCGAATGTGCAATGTGTTGGCGGCTGTAGTTTGATTGTGGGGAATGGGAACAGCTGGCTGAGGGAATGAGTACAGAGGGAGAGGTGATGGATGTGCGTGGAGCTCCGGTGACAGATGAGCTAACAGGTGTTCACCACGGCCCATGGAGACGTGCTATTTATGAGCTGGAAAAGACAGCCAGACTCAAAAGCGCACTACACCACCACTACCAGACCCGACGATCAGGCAATACATTGTACAACGTCCAGCATCTAACTCACACATACCACCTTAAGCAGGCGTTTCTGCTATAAAAGATAATGCTTTATAATATTGTAATTTTATCCTTAAGATTGAGACAAAAGGACAGATCCTGAGTCTTGAAAATGTGGATTTTTATTTAAAATGATTATGAATAGATTTGAGTAGAATACAGAGATGTCTTAACCACCTTCCAAGTCAATTAAGGAGATTTTTTGGCAAAAGGTAAAAGTAATCCATCAATGTAAAGCTAAATTAGACCAGGGCGTTGGCTTCAATGTGAACAGAACAAAGCAGAATATGAAACTCATCTTCATCGACATTCTTGTATCGAGAGAGAATTTAATTTTTCCTTCAGTTACAAAAACTAACAATGCCAAAGGCAATTTAATAGAACTTAAATCTTGAACTCTTCTATAGTGGGACTTGTGTATACTTGGGGCCTATGCGGCGGTGAGAGCTTGTGTGAGAACTCGCAGCAACATGGACGCCATGACGCTCTTCTCGGTGTTGACGGTGAGGAGCGCTGTGGGCGACTGTTGCAGCGACAGAGAAACCAGCACCAGAGATCCGCTGCTCACGGCCTTCCCCGCAAATCTGTGAGACACAAGTGAAGTGGTCAGCCTCGTATTTAGGTGGAAAGAAAAGTTTAGTGTGAAAATACAAATTAAATTTCTCAACTTCCAGAAAGAAATACATTACATCAGATGAATGAATTATGGCATTGAACCAATAGAAATGGCTTTGACCACAAACAATTATTTATTGGATTTTTCTGAGAAAGACCAACACAAAGTGGAAAGCAAAATGATACATGATTTCATGTTTTTCTTTATAATAAGAAAAATAAAAATTAGTTTAAAAATTTAAATAATCATCCCCTTTTCTTTGAGTGAATTCAATTGCTTTTAAAAGTTGCCTGATGATTGAGCAGTGGTCAGAGGTTGACATAACTGTAGCAGAGTCCACAGAGTTTGCAGCTGCTCTGTGAGGCCTCAGGTTTGATCAAAGAATGTTGGTCACAAAACAGCATCATGAAGTCCAAGGAACCAGAGAAGTTTAAAGAGTGGTTAGGTTGTATAAACATTTCCCAAGCTTTGGACTCATGGAGCACAGTTTAATCCATCATCCAGAAATGAAAATAGCTTGGCGCCACTGCAAACTTACCGAGACACTGTAGTTTGTCCAAACTAACAGCGCACACACTGGGAGAGCACTGATCAGATAGATGCAGAAAAAATGTGCAAAGCTCACAGAGACCAAAAGACTGGAAGCTTTGATTGCAAGAAAATATGGTTTCGTTACAAATATGTTTAAATAAACACGTTTGATTCGTTTGCTTACACATCCTGAAGGCCAGACGCCCCTGGCTGAGCTGGATGCAGCGTGGATATGGGAGTCGTCCGCCTCTGCAACCAGCTTTGAAAACTACTACAGGCCAATATAGTGGTTAGTAAATGACTGTGGCTTAATTGATTTTGTGAGGTATTTAAATCTTTCAACTACGCAGGAAAAAAACTGCAAAGCAGCAGTAGTAGCTCCGATAATGATAATTTAAATTCCACCTTCTTCAAAGGTGGAATTTAAATGTTGACAATTGATGCTAAATACATGTGTTTGTAACCTGCAAGGTAATATACATTACACATTGAACCAGTCAATCTGCATCAATGACTGCTTCCTTGGAGCAAGTTCTTAAAGGCTATTGTCTCCCTAATCTCATAAATCCTTTCGGCAGTATCAATACTAACATCTTAAACATTGTAATTGGTCTCAATAAGTGGGTTGCAGTTGAGGAAAATATAGACAACACAACAAGAGCGAGAGTCCATTATCCCAGTGACTAAAGAGTGATTAGGCCTGGGACACACCCCTCAGGCCCTGTCAACAGGACCAAGCTGTTTTTATGGACTGTGGGTGTCTATGAGCATGTGGAACCCTATTGGAAATGTCCTGTCCCACCAGCTCCCTCTGGGATACCCCGTTACCTTGGATACTGCCCCAGCAGTCTATAGGCAAATCTGGGCGCACATGGTCTCTTTAGAGAGTGCTAACAAGAGGCAGACAGGGGCTATGACCCAGGCTGACCCTCTTTAGGCCAACAAGGGGGCACTGGGGCCCGTCTCTGGCCTTGTGCATCCGTGGGCTTCTGCGCTCACTCCCGGCCATCTGCCTCCATTTAGCACAACACCCACACTGAAAGGACCCCCTGTGGCAGCCCGCTTAGGCCTGACTAGCACCCACAAAAAGCTCCACTTAAGCCTGACAGAAGCCTGTGACGAGCCCCAATCGGACGTCCTCTCGACAAGCTGTGTAAGTCCAGCCTGCACAGAGAGAAGGTTAGACAGCGTCACCAATTAGCACACTTGAGTTAAAGATGTGACGGGCCACTAAAGGGAGGGGCTCCTGAATGAAACAGGCCCACAAACAGAGTGTCTGGGCAGTCTCTGGGGAGCAGCTAAATTACCATCAACACAGTGAGGGAGTTTATCAGAAGCTCTTTGGGAGGAGAGAGAGGCCTCTTTAGGCTAATTAAAATATTAGCCACTTCAGCAGGAAACACACCACTCAAAGGGGTACGATTGCGGTCTCGAACACGGCGTATTCCTTAAATAATGGCAAGACGTATTGTAATGTAGAAAATGATTTACAGTTACATCATCAATAACTCATGACTTTGTTGCTTTTGTCTATTATAATGGGCACACGCATTATGCATGTTGGTCAAGTCTAGTCAACAGCCTGAGGGCTGACATGTTCCCTGCGGCTTTACTAATGGATTTAGGATATAAATCTATCATTTACTCAGCCAGTTAACACTGCCCTACGGGTGCTTTTATTTTGTCTCCAGAGACATCACAGAGTCTTTGTTCCATGCATTTGAAAAGTGAGCTAGGAAAACAAAGCAAGATGCAAAGTGAATATCTGGTGTTTCTGTGCCACTCTCATGTCTAGCATCAGTACCTTTTTAAAGAAAGATTGTGGACAACAAGCAGGCTCTAAATAGGTCATTGGTATTCCTCTGCACTCTTCACATACAGGGCTAAACACTGGATTAATTGCGGTGTATGGAAAGAAAAGAAAAGCATAACCCCTGGACTTAGAGCAGGCGGATTGGCATCGATCGGCAGAGCTGCAGCTAAGCATCACTCTCCAATTATCTGTGATTCTCCTCAGTGCAGAGGGCCTGTGTGTGCCATCTGCCTTCCCTCCACCCCGTCACTACAAAACAAAAGTGGGCTTCACCTATGCGTTCACCACCGTCCCACCGAACAGGACCGCACGCTGTACTCCTTAAGAATTTCAAATAATGTATATTTCTAGCCTTCCAAAAGAAGTTACATGCAGGATGAAATCTAAAACAGGGAGATGGAACATTAAATCTAGATACTATTCAAGGACTTTTGGCAAAGTGGACAAGTAAAGTGTCCTTCAACCGAGTGGTCAACAAGGCCAAGCCAAAGCAAGGCCCAGACCTGGAGACTGAGAGGGCAGATGGCCAGAACTATTAGCCTGATTAGAACCAGGGACCCTTCATGTATCTCCACTGCTCCACATCACACACTTTCTGAAGAGGCAACTGGATAAGGCTTTGATTTGTAAAGTATGTACAGATTATAAATGTATCATATTATTACACTATATTATATTACTACTATATTACTAATTTGTTTTATAATTGATACGTTTCAAAGGTACTGGTCTAAGTTTGGGTCCTCGACCAAAGGCCAGGGAGACTATATATACAATGAATATACTGTAAATACACACACACAAATACAGTGGGTTGCAAAATTGCCAATACAACTTACATTGTGCACATTTTGACCACAACAAAGTAACTGTGGTGAATGCAAAATGATACATAAATATTTCAAGCTCATTTTGAGTCAATGATTGTCCCCAGAGAAAACAGAAAGTCTCTCACCTGCAATACACAAAAATATGGTGCAATATAGATGCCACTTTGATTAACCTTTTTCTGCAGAGCCTTTGTTCATTCTGTGTTTTCCTTTATGGGGGCTCGGTACGGAAATGTGACTTTAAAAGTATGCTTTCAAGCAGGTGGTGAAGTGGGTGGTGAGTGGTCTACTCCAGCTCAGTCTGACGGACCTCTACTCCCCTCAGCTCCAGCGTTAGACTAGGGCCATAGCTGATTTTATCCCTGCTGGGCATCCCTGTTTAGGGGCTTCATATGAGGGGCAGCGCCAACATATGGAAGAAAGTTCTTTAGGATAGAAGGAGACCAAAACTGTTTAACCTGAAAACTCTTACTGTTCGCAAAACCTTCAGTCTTAGATGTGCACAGCTTGTAGTGTAGTGTCGTGGCCTAAGCTACTGACTGCTGCAAAAGCATTAACTTCAAAATCATGTATAATTTTGCCTTCACTTGATACTTTGATGTGGTCTTTAAAAAAAACTTTGAATGTCGTCTGGTGGCTTCATCTCACTCAAATCGACATCAATTGTCATACAGACATTCTAAACAACTAATAAATAAAAGAATAAAATCATTGTTTGTATAAGAAAAAAAAAAAGCCAACACAGCCAGTCAAGACATCTCAGGTTGTTCAATTAATAAATAAGTAATCCAAACTGTGCATTGATCAAATTAATGGAGTCGTTTTAGAACAGAGGAGCTCGATGTTGAAAGATACAATTTGTTGTGACAAACATATATTGCAAACACATCGTGTTCAGTAAAAGATATTAAAAGCAGTCATGCACGAGAACACTGTGAACTTGACTATTTTAAAAAATTACCTGCTGAGCAGAAAGATTGGCGAATACATGTAAAATTTGATAAAATTTGCTTTCAAACGGACTGAAAAATAGAGCACATTTATTTTATTCCGCCTGTTTAGACATAAACAAGAACAGCATTTTCTACATTTGCTTTCCTGCTTGATTTATTGCCATTCTACTTTACAGCAATCAATTCTAGAGTTTCTTTGGCATCCCCCACCATTGCACATCTGAGAGCTTTGAAAAAGCAGTGCTGCACCCTGCTGATACAAACAGGAACTGCAGGTGAAGAAACATAACTGGGTCCTTGTGAAGTGGTCCAGAGTTTATGGAATATGTATCTATAGCAACAACCATCATAAAAACCCACTGGAAAACAGACACAGCTTGTTTTTGTCCAAACTACAGGTGTTTTCCTCGTTTAAAACAAAGCATGTGTCCGGAGTAGCTAAAGGTCAGCTCACACATCACGTCTAATGTCGAGTGACCTACACAATAAGCTCTCAGTAGGTGTATCCGATTGAATCGATCTCCTCAGCCCGAGTGTTCTTCAGCTGTTGCACTTTTAAATCTACTCTAAATGGTATTAGCAAAACATGGTAATGCTGCCACTGGGCAAATGAATAACACAAACGACCGAGCGGTGAGTTCGGAAGTACAGATCGATTGCTCTTCACTCTATCCTAAACAACAATTAGCATAATTTTAATGTAGATATATTTAAGTCAAAAATGCTAAAAACCACATGAATACATTTTAGTAGTTGTTATTCATAACAGGGACATTTTTATAGCATCCTTCACCCACAGCACTGTAAGTCCATTGTTCATTCACACACATGGTGGTGGCAGGCCAGGACTGTAGCCACAGCCGCCCTGGGGTAGACTGACGGTAGCGAGGCTGACAATCTGAGCCATCGAGTTATCTTCCACCACCACTCAAACACCAGATTCATACTCCACAATGTGTGTCTTTCCTAAGGGCACAACGAAGTTTAGCCATTTAGAGCCTGTAAGTATTATTTCAGAATCATGTTTAATGACGTATTAGTAATTTGTACTTTCATTGATTAAATTAAGATAATGTAGTCACACAAAACTAAAACTCATAACATTTTATCTCTGCAAAGTCCACATTCAAATGGATTAATATACTGAAACCAATACTATGTGTGTATTCATAATTGTATATTTTACTGTCCGCAATGGGAATAAATACATAAATAAAGGAACATGTATATTACACAACTATTCAAATTAATACTTTGGTTCTCAGGGGGCATCTTAAGACCAATCACAAGGCAGCGTTAGTGATCCAACTTTCTCCTCAGCCGTCACAGACGCAGCAGTGAGATTGATGGCATGGTACCATTGAACTATTGGTTATTGTGAATGGGCGTTGGGCTTATTGGACACAGGCCGATCCCACTGGTTCATATTGATTTCCACTTGCTCTCGCAGACCTTAGTGCCCTTCTGCTTGTGGCTTTCTTACCTCCACACTGTCCTATATTTATGTCATGTCTCCTGCATTTTCCCTTTATTCACTCAACGACAGTGCCACTTTGTGGAAAGGTCTGTCAAGAAATTATTGCAAAAACCAATGGGACGTCAACAGTAAAAGTGTGATAAGAGACAAGCATAGGGAGTGTATGGGATGGAGTGAAAGACAAAGAGAAAGTGAAGGAAGAGCAGATGGAGGTCTAGGCTCAAACTGGGAGGGAGAGCGAGCAGGAAATTCACACACACACAAACGCACACAAACACACACGCACGCACACGCAGAGAGAGAGCTGTAATTATCTATCAGGTGTTCGAGTGTGCGTGACAGAGGAGGAAGCTCATTAGCACACTCTGTGTACACCAATTACACAGGCAGCCTTCTCAGGGCAATCCCCCGGCATGTCGGCAGCCAGGAACCAAACACTATTCACTGTCTCCAAGTCCTACACGACCAAAACAGGGGACTAAAGAGAACCCTGAAGGTAGCACATGTTTAGAATGCACAGCAGCAATGATGCAATGTCAAGTTTCAGATGCAGGGAATAATAAGTATTTTGGTAGATTTTTGCACCGATTAGAAATGTAACAAAACATACATCATTAACTTGTGCTCAGCACCAATCACGTGTCCCCTGTTCCTGTGCTAGCACACGACTGGCCGCACATGTGGATCACCAACTCTGTTTATGTAGCCGGTTAGCAGCTAACAGCGGTTCTTTGTGATTTTGGAAAAAATGGAGGCGCAGCAAATAAAGACGGATAGGGTTAAGGTGGCCCTGTGGAAAACACACTTTTTATAGAGGCAAGACTTCTGGCAAAATCTCCCTAAAACGTTTAAATTGATTCAGGCTTGTGTTCATTATGAATAAACTGTAGGAATGATTGGTCAGGACCAAGCTTTTCATCAATGGTTATTGAGGGAACCGGAGCACCTGGAGGAAACCCTCCCAGGTGGAGCAAACCTACCAACCTGGATCAAATCCACTCAGACACGGGAAGAAATAAGCAAATGCACATAGAAAGGCCTGGGCCGATACGTGGAGCATGAGTGCAACCCACTGTGGGTACAGACCTAAGATTTGTGTTTTAATCATAAACTGAGCCTGAAGGTCATTGTTTGTTCAAAACTAATGTAGTCTTATTGCTTAATTGATATATGTTCATAAACATGTTAAAAACTTTTCCAATGTCATTATATTTCATGAATGGGCTTAAATCTATTAAAACTGGTGTGTTTTTGTTGCAAAAAATCAAGCAGTATTTTTCTCTCCGATCTGACCAGAGCTCGACCTGGTGCGTTACAGAATACGTCTCTGAGGAGAATGTTTAATGTGATTCTGTGGTTCTTAAGCATCTCCATGGAGACAGCACAACACTTATATAGCACGCCAATCTACTTGCTCTAAGTATTATTGTTGTTTTTGGATCACTGTAAAACACATGGATATAAATACAGTGTTGAACCAAATGTAATCATAACCAAATATGTATCTGTCACTGACTCCATGTAGAAGAAAATGGTAAAAACATGTTATCCACAGGCCTTCAATATTGCTGTTGAGAGTTGTTGCTACTTACAGATGTATTAATAGCTCTAGGAAATGAGCTCAGTGGTTTTTCTTGCATTTCATATACATTTCATGTTTAGTATAAATGTAGGGCAATATATGTGATCAGGTGCAGTAAACTACCTGTGCACGTCGCTCTGATTGGACGGCACGGCTCCGACATTGGCCACAGACAGGATCTCCTTGTTGATGGCGAGCCTCGAGATGTTTGCAGTTGGCACCGTGATCGTTGCTGATGTCTCGTTCATTCCAAGAAGTTTGCCTGAAAAAGTATAAAGCATTAAATACTCAATGCAACTCAAATAATTTCAGGTTTCACTTATTACTTGGAAGCTTCATGTGCGTATGTGGGGTCTGACAAAACAGCACTAAAACTGATCTGGCTAACAGTGAGGAATCATGTCCCAGTTTTGTGGTTTTCCTCAATTATAATTAAGAAAAAGATATGTAGATAGATCGATACTTTATTGATCCCCCATAGGAGAAATTCAGGTGTCCAGTAGCAGCAAAAAACATATCCATCCACACAAAATAAATTGGTCATTCTTAAAAGCTAACAAAAGTAATCATAAGCAAGAAAGGATAAGATTTTATTGATGTCACAATGGAGAAATTTAGCATGGATAGGGTTAGGGTTAGGGTCTGTACAGGATATAATTATGTACAGCAGCACTTCAGGTCTTCAGGTCACAGCAGCAGAGGTGGAGTAGCCGCTTGGTTGGGATAATTTGTCTCTGCTCGTCTAGTCCAAAATGATGAATGCTTTGTTAGCATTTTTCAAAAAGTTAGCATTTCTCCAGTGGATATTTGGCTGATCCGCTTGGTTTGGACCATGAATCCTCTCTGCTCCGGTCTGGACCAGTGCAAAACAATGAACACTGTACTGCAGCAACATCTCAGGTAGAAAAAAAGAAAGAAAAATGGCAATTGCAAAGAACAAAACAACCAACTGTTTCAGAGCTACTTAGGACTTTAAGCCATTTACAGCGCATTCAAAAGTAACGCAAGAGATCCAATGACCCGAGTAATACATCAGGCCGGAAATCTTAGTAGGAATAGTAGGAATACCCAGGAAGGAGTCATTCATAAAAAGAATCATTATCATTATTATTTCAAACCAGGTACAAGTTTATTAGTCTGTTATAGTGATATATGTAAAAATAAGTATTGTGCCGGTTCAAAAAAAAATTATACATTTTTTTGCTATTATTATCCAATCCACTTTATTTATACAGCACATTTTTATTAAATAAGTTTATAGTAAGTGCTGCACAGAGATAAAAGTAACACATTTAAATTGATATTTGTATTATATCAATTTTGTTATTGTTATCACCACAAGTTGTTAAAATGAAAACATGAGACTATGCTACTGACTTTATTAGCGGGAAAAACTAATATTTATATTTTAAGTTGTTACCCCATGAGAATAATAATAATAATAATACAATGAATACATAAACGTGTCCCGTGCGCTACTACCGCAAACAGGTTTTCCCGGATCCACCTGCGGCAGTGAAAAAACCACGTAAGGGACAAATAATGAAGGGCTTGTCAAAAGAGCGGGTCTCCTTTATTTAAACACATTTAGTAAAAAGCAAATAAAAGCACAAGGAAAAGAGGTCAGAGTCAAATAAGGATAGAAAGTTAATTAGCCTCGCTCGCATGGTATTATGTGAGCGAGGAAAAAAGGTCTGCAAAAAGCATGTTGTTCTCTGTTCCCTACTCAATGTAAGTGCTTTTCAGTCAATCTCTAAAGCCAGTGAATAAAATAATAATTACGGCACACAAAGCATTCCGCCTGTACTTAGAGATGTTGATGGAGGGAATGGAAGGCACTCGCACCACTTGAGAAATCTGCAGGTGTGGGCTCAAAACACTTGACAGCTTTTCGAGGAGTAACAACTGCTTTGCCAAAACAACCGGAAACAAACAAGTGAGATTTTAACGGCAAAAGAATGATTAGTAACCTCTTTGGTCACCAAGGCTTACTTTGTTCCTTGCAGAAATCTTCCTCCGTCATGGTACTGGGCATCAGGAGCTCCCCCACGGCGGGCTGGATGGACACGTTGAACTGGTCTGTCTTTGTGCTGCGGGAGAAGGAACGATGTTAGTGTAAAAATATTGTTCAAGATTCAAGAATTTATTTGACATTTGCAGTAAAACCACATTGGAAAAACCGCGCAAGACTTTCCCAGTGTGCACCAGGACAGGGAAGATAGTACACAACAGAGCTCCTGCCACTGCGCCATTTTTCGGGAAAGTGTGTGTGTGTGTGTGTGTGTGTGTGTGTGTGTGTGTGTGTGTGTGTGTGTGTGTGTGTGTGTGTGTGTGTGTGTGTGTGTGTGTGTGTGTGTGTGTGTGTGTGTGTGTGTGTGTGCGTGTATAGCCGGAAATCACACAACAACCATGTATTTTGAGTTGTGCGAAAAACCACCAAATGCTCGACTACTGAACAATAGAAATAATATGTTAAGTTTAGAATATACGCAATATTGTGTACGTGTATTTGTGCACGTGTGTGTGTGTTAATTCAGATGTAAATAACTAAGTCAATGACTGAATATTGAGAAAATGTAAATATAGTAAGTTTGTTGTTATATGGATAGTACCAAAACAAAAAAAATCCTTATTTGATGCTCGATGTTGGAGGTGGGTGAGGGGCTATTTAAGTAATTAAGTAAACTTTAATGATATTACTTTTTTAAATATTAGATCATTTTAAACTTTAAAAATGTTTCATTGTGCCTAATTCTTTCTCTACTTTTGACTTTTAGAGCCAAAGCCTTTCCTAGTCTGTGACTTCCTGTTACTTACATGGCAACGAAAGAGATTCTGATTCTGATATAGCACCGTTCATAGACCAGAGTCACAAAACGCTTTACAATTATTCATTCATTTATTTTATGTTGTCTTCTCACTCCTCACATGAGACCTGGGGGTGAAAATGTTTAAAATGTCTCTGCAAACAGCAAAACAAGGGAAAGGATATAGTGTTTTTTTCATTTTTCATGCAGCACAAACGTATACACAGTGAGCCAGAAGGTCGTGGGTTCGAGTCCACCTCAAGACTTTCACTATCAACTCCCACTGATGTCTGCTGTCGTTGTGTCCTTAGGCAAGACACTTAACCTCAGGGAACAGCAGGTGCCACAGTGGGGCGGCTGCGGCTGTAAAGTGCCAAACTGCTGTTGTGTCCTTAGGCAAGACACTTCACCCACTGGTGTGTGTGTGAATGGTTGGTGGTGGTCAGAGGGGCCAATGGCACATACTGGTTGCCTCGCTTCTGTCAGTGTGCCCCAGGGCAGCTGTGGCTACAATAGTAGTTTATCACCACCGTGTATGGAGTAAAAGAATAATGACATGTGAAGTGTCTTTGAGTGTCCAAAAAAGCGCTATATAAAACCAATGCATTATTATTATTATCATTATATACTAGGAATGTAATTTGACGACGTGGACATATAAATAAATCCATAAAAACATAAAGCCAAAGAAACCTTAACTTTGAACCGTTCCAATGCTGGGGAGTGTTCTGAAACTCTTTCCCTTGTATTGATCTTATCAAAGCAGTGGTTCCAATTGCCTCATTACATTACAGTTAGAAGGATTCCGTATCCCAGTGAACCAAGATCCACTTTGATCAATTCACAGAGACAGAATAGAATGCAAGACATCAATGTGATAAGAGGAAGAAATGTAAACAAAATTACCAAACTAAATTACTGAGGAGGAAAGTGACAAAGATTTACAGATCATTAAGAATATGCACGTCTTCTTACCACAGCTGGAAGTTGGCCGCTTGCGTAGAGTCACTGAAGTCAATACCCATGGAAACTGTCACCGAGGCCCCAGGCTCCAGTCGCTCTGAGACAGAAAAGAAAGAAAAGCGTAAGAATGAGTGACAAGGGCAGTGTGCAGAGGGAGGGACGCAACAGAGTGGAACAGACAAGCATCCAGACCACTTGTGTTTTCTACTTCACAAAGCAAGGCCACCACTTGTGAGAAATCTATCCTTCAACCCTCCGCCCCCCGCACCTGCCGACGCATGGAACACATGAAGGACTAGCATATTTCCAAAAGAACAGCTTGTCATAGAGTGTCAAGCATCAGGAGAGTGGACATGCCTTCAAACAGAACTGAGGACAAAACAGAGTAAAGTCAGAGCGGCACGAGGGACAGTCAGGGGGTGTTGGGCTGGGCAAAAACATTTACAATTTATGGGAAAAACATCGACAGTCTATGCAATGGAACAATATCTGAACATTGTAAAGCACTTTGGGTGACCTTGGTCTGTAAAAATGCACTAATATATATATACAGTGCCTTGCGAAAGTATTCGGCCCCCTTGAACCTTTCAAAATTTTGCCACATTTCAGGCTTCAAACATAAAGATATAAAATTTTAATTTTTTGTCATGAATCAACAACAAGTGGGACACAATCGTGAAGTGGAACGAAATTTATTGGATAATTTAAACTTTTTTAACAAATAAAAAACTGAATAGTGGGGTGTGCAATATTATTCGGCCCCTTTACTTTCAGTGCAGCAAACTCACTCCAGAAGTTCAGTGAGGATCTTTGAATGATCCAATGTTGTCCTAAATGACTGATGATGATAAATAGAATGCACCTGTGTGTAATCAAGTCTCCGTATAAATGCACCTGCTCTTTGATAGTCTCAGGGTTCTGTTTAAAGCGCAGAGAGAACCATGAAGACAAAGGAACACACCAGGCAGGTCCGAGATACTGTTGTGGAGAAGTTTAAAGCCGGATTTGGATACAAAAAGATTTCCCAAGCTTTAAACATCTCAAGGAGCACTGTGCAACCAATTATATTGAAATGGAAGGAGTATCAGAACTCTGCAAATCTACCAAGACCCGGCCGTCCCTCCAAACTTTCATCTCAAACAAGGAGAAGACTGATCAGAGATGCAGCCAAGAGGCCCATGATCACTCTGGATGAACTGCAGATAACTACAGCTGAGGTGGGGATGGTGTGTTCAGGGTGATGAGCTGTGTTGCTTTTACGGCAAACATATCGTTTTGCATTGTGGCCAAAAAGTTCGATTTTGGTTTCATCTGACCAGAGCACCTTCTTCCACATGTTGCCCAAGGACACAACGACAGCAGTCATCAGTGGGAGTCGGTGTAGAGGTGAGAATTGAACCCACGACCTTCAGGCCTGAAGGCCAATGCTCTACCAACTGAGCTACTGTCGCCCCTAATCTTTATATCTATATATATATATATATATATATATATATATATATATATATATATATCTATATATATATATATATATATATATATATATATATATATATAAAGAAAAAAAAATTGTCCACTCACCTTTGGCCCTCCGCGGGCGGTTATCCCTCTCTAAGCTCGGGTCCTCTACCAGAGGCCAGGGAGCTTGAGGGTTCTGCGCAGTATCTTTGCTGTTCCTAGCACTGCACATTTCTGGACCGAGATGTCCGAGGTTGTTCCGGGGATCCGCTGTAACCACTCATCTAGCTTCGGGGTCACTGCCCCGAGTGCACCGATCACCACGGGCACTACTGTCACCTTTACCCTCCAGGCCCTCTCCAGCTCCTCTCTGAGACCTTGGTATTTCTCAAGCTTTTCATGTTCTTTTTTTTTCCGGATGTTACCATCGCTTGGAATTGCCACGTCCACCACCACGGCTGTCCTCTGCCCTTTGTCTACCACCACGATGTCAGGTTGGTTTGCCATTACCATTCGGTCGGTCTGTATCTGGAAGTCCCACAGGATCTTCGCACGCTCATTCTCCACCACCTTTGGAGGAGTTTCCCACTTAGACCTTGGGGTTTCCAGCCCATACTCTCCACAGATGTTTCTGTACACTATGCCAGCCACTTGGTTATGGCGTTCCATGTAGGCCTTCCCTGCCAGCATCTTGCACCCTGCAGTTATGTGTTGGATCGTCTCAGGTGCCTCTTTGCACAACCGACACCTTGGGTCTTGTCTGGTGTGGTATATCTGGGCCTCAATCGCTCTGGTGCTCAGTGCCTGTTCCTGTGCAGCCATGATGAGTGCCTCTGTGCTGTACTGTAGGCCAGCCCTTTCTAGCCATTGGTAGGACTTCTTGAGATCAGCCACTTCTGTTATGCTCCGGTGGTACATGCCGTGTAGGGGCTTGTTCTCCCATGATGGGCTCTCCTCCAGCACCTCCTCATCTCGCCACTGCCTGAGACATTCACTGAGTACGTCATCCGTTTTGGCCTTCTCCATGATGTAGTTATGGAGTTTGGATGTTTCGTCCTGGACAGTGGCTCTCACACTCACTAGTCCTCGGCCTCCTTCTTTACGGCTTACGTACAGTCTCAGGGTGCTGGATTTGGGATGGAACCCGCCATGCATGGTAAGGAGCTTTCGAGTTTTAACATCCGTGGTCTGAATCTCTTCCTTTGGCCACCTGATTATTCCTGCAGGGTATCTGATCACTGGCAGGGCGTAGCTGTTAATTGCCCGGGCCTTGTTCTTGCCATTGAGCCGGCTTCTTAGGACCTGCCTTACTCGCTGGAGGTATTTGGCAGTTGCCGCTTTCCTCGTCACCTGTTCGAGGTTGCCATTTGCCTGTGGTATACCGAGATACTTGTAACTGTCCTCAACGTCTGCTATTGTTCCCTCTGGGAGTGAGATCCCTTCTGTGTGGACTACCTTGCCTCTCCGAGTCACCATCCTGCTACATTTCTCGAGCCCGAATGACATCCCGATGTCATGGCTGTAGATCCTGGTTGTTTGGATCAGAGAGTCGATGTCTCTCTCGCTCTTGGCGTACAGCTTGATGTCATCCATGTAGAGGAGGTGACTGATCTTTGCTCCGTTCCTGAGGCGGTATCCATAGCCAGTCTGGTCAATTACTTGGCTTAGAGGGTTGAGGCCTATGCAGAACAGTAGTGGGGACAGAGCATCTCCTTGGTAGATACCACATTTGATGGTCACTTGTGCGAGCGGCTTGTCATTTGCCTCAAGGGTGGTCTTCCACATTCCCATCGAGTTTGCAACGAAGTCCCTTAGAGCCCTGTTGATATTGTACAACTTCAAGCATTCCATGATCCATGTGTGTGGCATTGAGTCGTAGGCTTTCTGGTAATCAATCCAGGCTGTGCACAGGTTGGTGTGTCGTGACCGGCAGTCTTGGGCGACTGTTCTGTCAACCAGGAGCTGGTGTTTGGCTCCTCTGGTGTCCCTACCAATGCCCTTTCTGTGCTGTGCTCATGAATTGTTCCATATGCCCACTTATCTTAGCCGCAATGATGCCTGACATGAGCTTCCATGTTGTGGAGAGACAGGTTATTGGCCGGTAGTTGGAGGGGACTGCACCCTTGACAGGGTCCTTCATGATCAGGACCGTTCGCCCTTCGGTTAGCCATTCTGGGTGAGTCCCATCTCTCAGCAGCTGGTTCATTTGTGCTGCTAGGCGCTCATGGAGTGATGTGAGTGTCCTTAGCCAGTAGGCATGGACCATATCAGGGCCAGGTGCTGTCCAGTTTTTCATACCTGAGACTCTTTCTCGGATGTCTGCCTCTGTGATGGTAACTGAGTTCTGTTCTGGGAGGTGGCTGTGCTCCTCTCTCAGGGACACCAGCCATTGTGCACTTCTGTTATGTGCTGCATCCTTCTCCCATATGTTCCTCCAGAACTGTTCAGTTTCCAGCCTCGGTGGATCTGGTCCCCTGTTGTTACCCTGCCACTGAGTGTACACCTTCGCAGGTTGTGTTGCGAACAGCCTGTTCACCCTTCTGGCTTCATTCTCTTTAGTGTACCTCTGTAGGCGGCTGGCCAGGGCTTGGAGCCTTTGTTTGGCAGTTTTGAGTGCTTCAGGTATGGTCATCTGGCTGTACTTTACTCATATATATATATATCTATATATATATATCTATATAGATATATATATATTATATATATATATCTATCTATATATATATATCTATATATATATCTATATATATATCTATATATATATATATATCTATATCATATATCTATATATATATCATATATCTATATATCTATATATATATCTATATATATATATATATAGATATAAAGATTACTACTGTAGTATAAGTGTCTTGAAATTGTTTTGTGGCAGTCCATACAATCCACCCATTCATTCACGATTTCATTTCACATAATGATCTTTCTTTCAAGTTGGGAAATAAATGATGTAAAAACTAAATAAGACAATCTGCATTTATTCTCTGAAACTGTAGCCGACACGATCAATCCAAATGACTTTATGTTTGGAGGCATCAATTCCTTCAATGCTCAATCAATCCAAACCATTGACATTTTTCCTGAGCTCTGCCGCACACCACTTGTCTGTACCCTAAAGGAAAAGTCTGACGATTCTCAGAAACTGTGACAATATTAACCCTCTATACTCTTGCAGCTTTGTACAACTGCAAAGCAATGCACAAAGCACCAGTCCCCCACCAGCTACTTTTTCATGTACACAAAAACAAGAACATTTCACATTAATAACTCACCGATCGTGTTGAAGCAGTGAATGTTGAGACTTGCGGGACTGCGTTCTCCGATGTGGATTTCCTCCAGACTGTGGTCCGAGGTGTTGGACAGAACCAGCTGCACCGTCACCATGCAAGGCTGGTAGAGACAGGGCTGTCGTGGGAAATGATACTTCGCTGCCAGACCCTTCCCCGACATGTGGTGGAGGAGATCGTAGTCTTTCACTTGGCTGAATGTTGATGTCGTCACCTGCACAAGTCCAAGAAAGAAGGGCTTGAGCGCCATATCAAGTATTGATACGGCTGACAGGTATTCGAGTCTGTCATTCGTTTGCAGAGCTGCTTGGAAAAACACACTCAAACAACCAGAGCAATCCAGCCACCCCGTTTAATGTTCTATAAAGTTTGGTTTGGTGCTGTATATGTTACACTTTATTGTCCCTGTATGGAAATTTGTCCTCTGCATTTGTCCCATCATGCATTGCCTCTTGGGCGTCTGTCAGCAGCAGCAGTTGCCGTGATACAGTCTTTACCAGAGCGGGAGTATGTGACCTGTACATGTTAAACCGGAGCCGCCGGAGGAAACGGGGCATTTGTCTCTCACTTCCCACAGAGAGCAGGGTTGCCAGTACAGGAGGTGCATGCCAGATAAGATAAGATAAGATAAGATAGACTTTATTGATCTCACACAGGAGAAATGTACATCTATTGTTCATGGTCGTAAAGGCCCTGTTACGACCGGGATTCGAACCCAGCCACGGGACGCCCTTAAAAAAAAAAGTGTCTAGTGAGAAGTATTCTACAATGAGTGTTGCCAATGAAGAGCTTTTGCATTTTTAAACACATTCATAAAATTGAGACAGACTGAAGTGTAGATTTGGAAACATTTGCATTTAATTCATCATATTCAACATAGACTGTACTCTTGTAAAAGCATAACTCGCGGCCTCTCTACAGCATCTATAGGAGGTCAAGTCAACATTTGTTTCCTTGCTGCCCTCACAGGCGCCCGTCACGCCACCATCAGACTGAAAATTCATTGGGTCGCTTTTGGATGTGTCACAGCAGTCGTTGTCAATAAAGCTGCCCGTAATGTTTGCCACGGCATCACAACTAAACTAAGTCCTGACAGCCACATCCTGCATCAAGGTCCTTCACCGGAGCCTGGGCCTGAGTCGTGCGAGGCAACACGAGCCGGACAGCTCTTCAAACTACTTATTATCACCAATTTAACACAGTGGACGGTTAAAGCCTGACGTGATCTCCCTGCCCCCTCCATCCACCGCCGTCCTGTTACACAACAAGAGCCCATAATACTTCAAGTGTAAATAAGAGAAGATGAGGAATGTAACCTTGACTTCTTTGACAGACTGCCTTTCTTCCTCAGCCCGCGGTTCTCCATCCCGGACAGACATAGGCAAGGTGACGATAAGGCAGGAAGTTGATTGAGAGGCTCTATTATGCATCAACTTAAAGGAAGCTCCCGTGATGGATGACACAGACACCAGTCACCTTCAGAGCCTGGACGCTACGCTACAAGCATCCTCTCTGGCAAATGACCTGAAAATCCCGCTGACATATTCAAAAGGGGCTAAGCATAGCTGGGCATCCTTGTGTCATAACAATTTAGGGGAAAGCAGAGAAGAGAATGAAGCAATATGTGGGGGATATATTGAAAATCCATTTCTGTTTCTGCCTCCAACACAGACAACAGTATTTCATTATGCCATACAACTGTTGTGAAGATTAAAGTGTGTTTGACTTTTACAACTAATTGTTCCCTTCATTCTCAAGATGACAATTAATTGAAGGGAGTCAGAAAGACCTTGACAAACAAATTGAATTAAGTAAATGTTACTACGCCATCAAAAACTACTTTAATGTAACAAGAATGGCCTCCAGTGTAAATGAACAAAGGTTATTCATTTATACCAATATCCCTTTATATTAGGGACCATAAATTACTTTTCTGGGCTCAGCCTCCTCTTTGTTAAAAAGGGGGGAGTGGTGGATGACCTGATGACATCGGGGCCCATCTCCACCAGTTTGCAGTTTATGATGTTACCCTGCGAGCCGCGTTCGCATGAGATACTTATTATCTTTTTAACAAATCAAATGTATCAATGAAATGCACAACGGCACATAATGCCACTTTTAATTTAATATTTTGTATGACTTGTTAGATTCAAATCTGATACTAATGAGTTGGAATCACTACGGTGATAACTTTGAAAACACTTATTTTCGTCTAGATTGAATCATAGAACAAATGATAGTATTTTTAGTAGTTAATTGTCCTGTTAATTATAATACCTATACTTTCTAGAATGAGTGGATACTGTAGTTAAGTGTTTCCTTTCACATCCATCTAAAGCATGATGTACTTTTTGACACGGCTGTGAGTAATAAACCGTTTGGATTTGACAAAGCCTGAAGTGGGAGAGGAAGACAACAGCATTAAAACACAAAAACTCCTCGCATGCACTGACTGGCAATTTCCGCGAGGGCACTTATTACCATTTAAGAGACAATCTCCACAGTTTGAGTGGCAGCACGAGGTTTGGAGGGCAGAGGCTGCTATATTGGCCGCTCTCCAGGTCCTTGTGCTGAGGCATAATTAGACATGAACCCGGAGCGCCCGCATCGGGGAGGTCAGGGGGGAGCGAGGAAGGCGAGGTGGAAGAAGGGGGCCGAGCCGGCGCCCGTCTGATGGACACCAAATGAACAAATTATGATGGCCCCCTCGGGGTGTGATGGGGTCAAACGCCCTGCGCCCGGCCACTGACAGTTCAATTTCCCTCCAACGCAGTCCTATTCGCTGACTGCTAATTATGAATGAAAAGTTATCAGGCTGAGCCACATCGCTGCACATACGGACAACGAGCGGAAGGGGTTTGCTGTGGGAGGGAGAGCAGGAGGGATTTAAAAAGCATTTGTGAGAGATCCTAATGTCAAAATGTTATTAGAGAGAGTGGTAGCATGCAGAAGCTGAGGAGGAGTCAGAAGAGCTGGGTCAAAGACAGTGACTTGGGTTAATCTAAATGCCTTTGATAACCATGCAGTAATTCTCTAAAAGGGCCTGAGCGCTCAGCTGAGACAGTCTCGCTGCCTCTGTGGGCAGATTGGAGAGAAATAGCAATGACACCGAGGCCAGTGCATGTGAATGTGTGTGTGTGCGTGTGAAATATGTAAGCCCGGGTCCCACAAATAAAGGGGAGGGGCGTCTGTGAATAAAGGTGAGGTTATTTACCCTTGTCTATGAATCCCAATGCCCATCATGTATTTATGCATAGAATTGGCTCTAAATCAGATGTTGATGCGCATAAAGTTCCCTGTTCTGATCTGCATTTCTATTCTCTATTACTCCTTGGCCTTCACCTGAGAAGAGAGAATGACTAACAAGTCTGCTGCAGAGTAAACACTGGTGTCAATCATTCTGACTGACAGGCAGCCACAACCAAAGCAGCTGCAGTACTTCAAAGAGTTTGTTTATATCAAATCATAATTGCCTATTTAAAATGTATATACCGGTACTTAAAGGCTGTGTGCACAATTTTTGTCATCCTGAAATAGTAATCTTAATCCAATCAGGTCACCAACTAAGCAACTAAGGTTAATCCCTGCTTTTTTTTGTCTTTCTATTCTAATATTGTGCAGGATATTTGGTTGGACTGCGCAGTTCCGGATGGTATATACCCAATGTGTCGATATGTACTCGAACTACTGCCCCCACACCAGTGCACTGTGGCTGCTGTGCCATTTTAATCTTAGTAATTGTAAACAATGACAATTAAATATTTGAATTCTAATCTACTAATACGAAGTAAGAGAATCCTTTTTTTTAAACATATAGCAAAATCATTTTTTGACTTTTCCAGCCTTAGCTCAAGCTTAACAAAAGGAGTGTAGAATGAGGAAAGGCGCCCAAGAGCAATACAATTTAGAAATGTAGGCAAAAAAAACTATTGCATTCATGTAAAAATACAAATAAAACAAAGAAGTTCACCGGTCGTATTGCTTGCCAGATAAAGTCCTGGTAATCTCTTTTGTAAGACACAAAAAACACTGCAACACAAAAAATGGTGTGGACATTTTGTTCCCAGGGGTAAGATGCAAGACACAACACACAGATTCTGGGCAGAGAAAGGAGCCGTCATACCAAGAAAGGTCAACCATCAGATATACACACAAGTGAGACACAGGGGACACAGGCTCTGACAGAAAGAGATGGGAAGTGACAGAGCAGAAGAGAGATGAGACAAACTGAGCAGAAGGACTTATAGATGAAGCAGAAATGAGTTCAAGGTGTGGAAAAGCATCGAACAGTGGACGGGACAAAAGATGAGAGATACAGGAAACAAGCAGGGCGATTGTACCAGTCTGGCGATAAATAAGGGAGAACAGGTCAATAGTGGGCGCCTGGGGCCCAAATGTCCCACATGGGACAGGGGCTTATTTTACCATCGTACTGAGCAGCTAGGCAGCTAGCTACAGCCGACCATTAGTGTCAGACCTCCGGTATCGCACAAAAGGAAAAAGTGGCTTCGAAGCTAATATGGATCAAGGTATGGACTAACCTGCATAGCAGAGGAGATGTTTGAGAGAGACAGGCCCTCCAGGTCCGACAGGAGGCTGTGGGAGACCACTGAAGGCTTTGGTGCGTTTGTGGAAGTCTGTGAGACTAAGAACAACATCATCTAATTTAATATACAGCTTTGACACAGCAGGAAATAAAAGCAGGTTTATGACCAAAATACATTTAAAGTAAAAAAAAAACGTGTAAATGCTCAGACTCACAGTCATCGAGGTCCAATAAGGAAACTTCTTTCTTGGGCTTTACCTGTAACTACAATAAATAACATCATGTAGTAATGTATGAACAGTAACGAACAGAACGATACTCATTGCCTTCAGCTTCCTGTTTCAAACATCTGTAAGACCTCAAAAAATATATAATTTTGTTTCAGATTGTGAGTCACTATGATCATTGCCATATTTAAAGAAACATGTTAATAACTGTCTGCATTTCTGGAGTATTGTGTTTAAGATGTGTACAAAACAAAGTATAATTCTTTTCTATTTCAATCCTCTCGTTCTTGTCACATTCATTTGCCAGTTTTCCTTATGTTTCCTCTTCAACACCACACCACAGGAACAGACAGAACAGAACAGATTTAACTGTTTACAAGGCATTTTTATAAACCTGCAAACAGCTCTGCATGGAATACCCGCTGAGTCCGACTTTAGATTGATTCAAGTCAACGCTCAATGTGGAAATGGATTTGAAGAAGGAATACAACTGTCAGCTCTTATAACCAAACAGTGTGGCAAATAGAAAATCTTTGTTTAGAAAAGCAAAGAATCAAATGAAAGGCATAGATGGGAAAAATAAATCAAACGTTTCACTCAGGGACCCCAAAAATCCAACTCGTCACCGTGGAATGTAATTTAAAGCAGTCAAAACATGCTTAAACCAATGTAGTTTTGTATATTTCAGTCATTTTGAGGCCTGCCTAACACAAGACTGACGTGAATATGTAGTCTGGGAACCATCCATTCATTTTCTCGTAGGAAATGTCTGGTTTTATGATTCTCCAGAGCCGTTTATTGGTTGCTACAAATGTATTTCTTTTGGTACTTTAGTTATGTATTAATACTGTATATACACATTTGTCTTTGAGTATCTTGTTTTGGTTCAGTTTTGTGACTCGTCATGTACAAAATGAAATGAAATATGTGTTTGTATGTTGCGTCAAAGCTCCCCCTTGGACTGCCAACGTGTCCAAGGGGGCGTCCAAGCTCCCCCTTGGACTGCCAACTCCCCCTTGGACTGCCACCTTAACGTGGTGGGGGAGTTTGAGCACTCGGAGGATCCTGGGAGCTATGCTGTCTGGGGCTTCATGCCCCTGGTAGGGCCTCCCATGGCAGACAGGTCTCAAGTGACGAGTCAGACGAAGCGCAGTCCGAAGCCAACCATGGACAGCACGACAACAAAAACCGTGACGTCGCCCGGCATGGCGCAGCCGGGGCCCCACCCTGGAGCCAGGCCTGGGGTCGGGGCTCGCAAGCGAGCGCCTGGTGGCCGGGCCTTAGCCCACGGGGCCCGGCCGGGCTCAGCCCGAAGGGATGACGTGGGCAGTCCCTCCTGTGGGCCCCACCACCTGCAGAGGGGTCCGTGGTGGCGTGGTGCAGCGAGGACTGGGCAGCGGTCGAAGGCGGAGACCTCGACGACCCAGTCCACACACCCAACATCTGGCTGTTGGGACGTGGAACGTCACCTCACTGGGGGGGAAGGAGCCCGAGCTTGTGGGGGAGGTTGAGCGATACCGACTAGAGATAGTCGGCCTCACCTCCACACACAGCTTGGACTCTGGAACCCAACTCCTTGAGAGGGGTTGGACGCTCCACTTTTCTGGTGTTTCCCGCGGGGAGAGGCGGCGAGCTGGGGTGGCCATACTCATTGCCCCCCATCTCAGCCGCCACGTGTTGGAGTTCTCCCCGGTGAATGAGAGGGTCGCGTCCCTCCGCCTCCGGGTGGGGGACAAGTCTCTCACTGTTGTGACGGCCTACGGGCCTAACGGTAGTGCAGAGTACCCGGCCTTCTTGGAGTCCTTGGGAGGGGTACTGGACAGTGCACCGCCCGGGGACTCCGTTATTCTCCTGGGGGACTTCAACGCCCATGTGGGAAATGCCAGTGACAACTTGGAGAGGGGTGATCGGGAAGAGCGGCCCCCCTGATCTGAACCCGAGTGGTGTTCAGTTGTTGGACTTCTGTGCCAGTCACGGCCTGTCCATCACGAACACCATGTTCGAGCACAAGGGTATCCACCAGTGCACGTGGCACCAGGACACCCTAGGCCGGAGGTCGATGATCGACTTTGTTGTCGTATCATCTGACCTTCGACCGCGTGTCTCGGACACTCGGGTAAAGAGAGGGGCGGAGCTGTCAACCGATCATCACCTGGTCGTGAGTTGGATCCGCTGGCAGGGGAAGAAGCCGGTCAGACCTGGCAGACCCAAGCGTATAGTGAGGGTTTGCTGGGAACGTCTCGCGGAGCCCCCTGTCAGACGGACTTTCAACTCACACCTCCGGGAGAGCTTCTCCCAGGTCCCGGCGGAGGAGGGGGACATCGAGTCCGAGTGGACCATGTTCTCTTCCTCTATCGCCAATGCGGCGGCTCGTAGCTGTGGTCGCAAGGTCTCTGGTGCTGGTCCCGGCGGCAATCCCCGAACCCGGTGGTGGACACCGGCAGTAAGGGATGCCGTCAGGCTGAAGAAGGAGTCCTATCGAGCAATGATGGTTCGTGGGACTCCTGAGGCAGCTGTCCAGTACCGGCAGGCCAAACGTGCCGCGGCCCGGGCTGTTGCAGAGGCAAAAACCCGGGACTGGGAGGAGTTCGGAGAGTCCATGGAGCATGACTATCGGTCGGCCTCGAAGAGGTTCTGGAAAACCGTCCGGCGCCTCATGAGGGGGAAGCAGTTCTTTGCCAACACCGTGTATGGTGCGGGTGGAGGGCTGCTGACCTCGACTGAGGATATTGTCGGGCGGTGGAAGGAATACTTCGAGGTTCTCCTCAATCCCCCCGTCACGTCCTCCGTTCAGGAGGCAGAGGCTGAGGATGTTGGGGCAGACACTTCCATCTCCCTGGCCGAGGTCACCAAGGTGGTTGGCAGCCTCCATGGTGGCAAGGCGCCGGGAGTGGATGAGATCCGTCCTGACTATCTAAAGTCTCTGGATGTTGTAGGACTGTCTTGGCTGACACGTCTCTGCAACATCGCGTGGCGATCGGGGGCGGTGCCAATGGAGTGGCAGACCGGGGTGGTGGTCCCTCTCTACAAGAAGGGGGACCGGAGGGTGTGTTCCAATTATCGTGGGATCACACTCCTCAGCCTCCCCGGTAAGGTCTACTCCAAGGTACTGGAGAGGAGGCTACGCCCGATGGTCGAATCTCGGATTCAGGAGGAGCAGTGTGGTTTTCGTCCCGGTCGCGGAACACTGGACCAGCTCTATACTCTCCATCGGATACTCGAGGGTTCATGGGAGTTCGCCCAACCTGTCCACATGTGCTTTGTGGATTTGGAGAAGGCGTTCGACCGTGTTCCCCGGGGTGTCCTTTGGGGGGTCCTCCGGGAGTACGGGGTCCGGGGTCCTCTGCTGAGGGCCGCCTGGTCCCTGTATGACCGGAGCCAGAGCTGTGTTCGCATTGCCGGCAGTAAGTCAGACCTGTTCCCGGTGCATGTTGGCCTCCGCCAAGGCTGCCCTTTGTCACCGGTTCTGTTCACTGTATTTATGGACAGAATTTCTAGGCGCAGCCAGGGGCCGGAGGGGGTCCGGTTCGGGAACCACAGGATTTCATCTCTACTTTTTGCGGATGATGTCGTCCTGTTGGCTCCAACGAACCAGGACCTGCAGCATGCACTGGGACGGTTTGCAGCCGAGTGCGAAGCGGCTGGGATGAGAATCAGCACCTCCAAATCCGAGGCCATGGTGCTCGACCGGAAAAAGGTGCCTTGCCCTCTCCAGGTGGGTGGAGAGGTCCTTCCTCAAGTGGAGGAGTTCAAGTATCTCGGGGTCTTGTTCACGAGTGAGGGAAGAATGGAGCGTGAGATTGACAGGCGGATCGGTGCAGCGTGCGCAGTGATGCGGTCTCTGTATCGGACCGTTGTGGTAAAGAGGGAGCTGAGCCGAAAGGCGAAGCTCTCGATTTACCGGTCAATCTTCGTTCCCTCCCTCACCTATGGTCATGAGCTTTGGGTAATGACCGAAAGAACGAGATCGCGGATACAAGCGGTCGAAATGAGCTTCCTCCGCAGAGTGGCTGGGCGCTCCCTTAGAGATAGGGTGAGGAGCTCAGTCACACGGGAGGAGCTCGGAGTAGAGCCGCTGCTTCTCCACGTCGAGAGGAACCAGTTGAGGTGGCTCGGGCATCTGTTCAGGATGCCTCCTGGACGCCTCCCTGGGGAGGTGTTCCGGGCACGTCCCACCGGGAGGAGGCCCCGGGGAAGACCCAGGACACGCTGGAGAGACTATGTCTCTCAGCTGGCTTGGGAACGCCTTGGGGTCCCCCCGGACGAGCTGGAGGAGGTGTGTGTGGATAGGGAAGTCTGGGCGTCTCTGCTTAGACTGCTGCCCCCGCGACCCGGCAACGGATAAAGCGGAAGAAAATGGATGGATGGATGGATGTTTGCGTCAATTGTATCAATTCAACCCGCAAAAGAAATTTGACGAGAAGGGAAGAAGCAAAAAAGACAATCTGGTGCCAAACGATTACTGCCAGCAAGATGTTTTCATGTCTTCTGTCATCTGCTGGATCTATCAACAAACTACAACAAACCAATAGCGTGTCATCGTCATCTTGCCGTCCCTCCTGTGATTGGTCCCTGAATCCATGTGAAAGTTTCAACATGAGTTTCCACGCAAAAAAATATTTTCACGCACACAACAGCAAGGGATACCCAGGCTAGTGATTTGACATAAATTCACATAAAATAAATCATGTTTTGTGTTCTAATAAAATAAATCTAAAATTCTAAAAGCTTTTCATTCTATCTTGAAATCCTTTCCGAAACGTGTTACCCCATGCCCTTTGAGTATTAGGTTTGGCTGAATAAAAAACTATTCGGTTCAGTCCTATATTGTACCACTAATATTTTTTTATGACTGATATTTTTTTACATTTACCCATTAACCCTTTTTAAACCATCTAGCAAATTTCTTGAGCTCTATCTGGAGCTGGGAGGTAGCAGTCCTTAACCATGGCCCAGTGCTGTCTCCACCTGACCCTCGTGAAACCCATAGGAGGACAGTTCCCCCCCGTCCCTTTGGGCTCCAGGTCCACATCATTTCTCACAATCCACGGTATTTGCACAGCGCTCCATCTAATCCATCACCTGTTGGCCATGAGAGACCCGAGCAGGATAATCCGGGCACCATTCACCCCGACCAGCGTACAGAGGCAGTCTACAGAGGTGTGTAAGGTTAAACTAGGATAATACAAAGAATAATGTTACCTTGGATTTCTCTCTAATGTTATTCTGTGCTGGTTTCATGTCTTCATCTGTGTCCGAGTCTGAATCTGTCTCTGAAGCTGAAGAACTTTCCATTGAAGAGCTGCTGGCCTCGACTCCATTTCCATTTTCATCGGAATCACTAAAAGAAACATACGCCTTAACACACTGGGCATTTGATGTGGTGATGATCCAGGACACTCAACATTTATCAACACTTATGGACATTTATCAACACTTATGGACATTTATCAACACTTATGGACATTTATTAACACTTATGGACATTTATCAACACTTATGGACATTTATCAACACTTATGGACATTTATCAACACTTATGGACATATTATCAACACCTATGGACATTTATCAACACATATGGACATATTATCAACACTTATGGACATTTATCAACACCTATGGACATTTATCAACACTTACGGACATTGGTCAACTCCCACTTTGGACCAATATCTATTTGTTCTCTATTGTTTGTTTTCTGATCTGTGTTGGCGAACTCAACGGTTTTGTAAATTATAAATAAAATGAATTGAAAATGAATATAAGAATACAGTATATGGTCTGGGGCTGGACAACAAACTTTGTGGCTTCATTTTGACAATTTTAATGAATCCGTATAGACGTGCAGACAAACTGTGTGTGCTCCCTGTTGCACAAAAAGATGTCTACCATCTTTCTCCTCTCTCCTTCACTTGCTTCATCCCTCTTCAATTTGTTCCTATAATGAGTGTTTACTCCTCCTGCCTGCAATTCACAGCCGTTAAATTAATGAGGGGAATTGTGACGGTAACTGGCTTTTTAACTTGGGCGATGATGAAAAGCCAGTATTAATTTGGCCAACAGATTTCATTTGCTGTGAACAGGAAAAAGTGATATAAATCACTGTGGTCCTGATTAGGCCCTGCCTGAAATGACTGGGCCATAATGAGGGCATTATGCTGTGTTTGTTGTGGAAGCACTGGGGTGAGCTGCCTAATTACTGACTGTATGTGTGTGTGTGTTTGAGCACTGGGGTGAGCTGCTCTAATTATATTCTCTAATGGAGAGAACAGGGTCAGCCGGCAGCCTGTCACACGGAATGTACCTAGTTTCAGTGTGTGCTTTGTGCGACCATAAGCAAATGAAGGCAAGTGCGTAAGAAACTGAATTTGTCCGTGTGCAAGAGTGTGTGAGCCTATTCAGAAGGAAGGACTCAAATCTCATTCGCTGCTTACACCACCCTATCAAATGACCAATTAAAACTCATTATCCATTAGCCATGTAAATGTGGGTTACGCTCCTGGAGGAAAATTCTCACTGATTAGCTTCTTAATGGAACCTACATTGTGGATAACTGCTCTGTTCAGTGAGGTCTGATGGTCAGCCTCAATGTGAGCGGGACTTAGAGAATAGATAACCAGTAAACACGTTATCTAATGTTGTGTTTATGTTCTAGAATTCTGTTGGAGGGCAGGTGCTAAAACAGCTCAACTTTTATGAAAGGAATATTTAAGAAAGAATTATCTGATAGCGTTTAAATTCCCAAACACGCCATATCATTCTCATGTTTGAAGTCCTTCCTGCTGGTCAACAACATGTTTATCGAATATTATCACCACTGCTGGACTTTTTGTAGAATAATATTATACCATAACTGACATGAATGATGTGAAACTTTGTGACAGTTTCTTTCATGTGGATTAGCCCCGGTATTACAGAGAATTTAGCTCTAAACTAAGACAAGAAATCTGACTTTTGACAATTACCCAGAAAGATTTTTCAGCTGCCCTGTTGTGATGTCACATGAGCGCAATCTATTGGTGCTTCCTCAGACACCATGTAATTTAATGTTGGCTCAGATTTACACTGCTATTCATCACATGTTAAGTAGATATTTCCTCCCAGCTGCTGTCAGACTGTACAATGAACAATGATGAACACAATGTGCATAATGGGACCACATGTGTTCACTGTCACTTTACTTATACACTTTTAGCCCAGAGCCTCAAGCTGCTAACATGTACAGGAGTATCATGAGTAAATATTTGAACCCACCGAGGTAATAACCTGTTATTTCCATGTTCTTGCACTGACTGAAGTATAGTCTAGTGCATGTCTATAGACTAATTCTTTGGTTATAAATACAATGTTCAGAGTTAACTTCATCACTTGGGCATAAAAGTGTATATTTCTTTGCACTAAGAGTATATAGATTTAAAATGTATGTGTGTATGCTTTTTATACTTTGAGGTTTCTTAAGCTATAGCTAAAGTTGAGTTGAGTTCAATGTACATCAAACATTAATCATTAAATGTCACTTAATAGAATTTTCTAGCAAATCATTCATTTACAATTACTTATTACAATAATGTTTATTTCATGTTTGTGTGCGCCTCATTCCTACAGTTCTGTAACTAGTGAGGCAACATGGACATTTCCCCACTGTGGGACAAATAAAGGATTTCTTAATCTTTATCTTAATCACAGAATAATAGAAATATCTGGCGTTGTCAAATGTAACATCTGTGTATAGCTTAATGTTTTTGATAAGTGGTTAGCAATCACACAGTTTTAAATTAGCCACGGATATACCTTTGGGCAGCAGCCGTCTTTGCTTTCTTCTTCTTCTGTGTTTTCTTAGTCTTCTTCTGTTTTGAGTCGGACTCTGAGTCGCTGGAGTTTTGTTCACTTTCGCTCGACGTGTTTTCCGACGCGCTGGAATGTTTGCTGCTTTCTTCTTGACTTTCGTCCTCAGATTCTAGCGAGAAAATAACATATAAGAACGCACGATTAATTAAAAGCATCAAAGACAAGAGTGACATCATGTGGGTGTCAAAGCTGAAAAACTAATTGACACGTAAAGACTTAAAATAACACCTTCACTGCTGCTGCTGCTGCTGCTGCTGCCGTCTTCACTGCTGCTGCTGTCAGACCGTTCTTCTTTCTCCTCTTCCTCATCGGAGTAAAACTTATCCGACTTGAGGTGCTTTGATTTTCCAGCTTTGGGTACGATCTCATTCACCTACACAAAACGTCACAATATTTATACAGCTGTCGTTTGAACATTTCTGATTGAATCAAATAAATAAATGCGGAGACTCACTGGTTCAATGATCTCGACGTTTCTCACAGCTGTGTCAGGAGCCACCGAGGGCCAGTCGCTGAGCTCCTGGTATCCAGCGGCTTTAGTGTTGAGACTGTGGGACAGAGTACCGAGCTGGAATCTTTCCCGATCTGCATGGGAATTTGAAATGAATATAATGAACAAAAACGAAACAACAGAGGAATATAATGAACAAAAGAAGGAGACTGGCTCTGGTGATGTCCAAATCCAGGTTAAAGACGGTTCTTTTTGCCTGTACGTACAACTGAAGGATTTTATTTCTGCTCTTTTGAATGGACTGTTGTGATTTATCATTCCCTTATGTGATGTTAATGTTTTAAGTACATGTGTGATTTTAATTGTGCTTTTGGTTTTTATGTGATGATTTGTGCTTTGTGTGGTGTGGACTGTGAAGCGCTTTGTGTTGCCCTGTTTAGGAAAAGCGCTCTATAAAAAAAGATTGATTGAAAAACAAAACAACAAATAATATTTTACAACCGAATGTATGGGTTATAAAAAACATGATGCAACTGGATTTGGGCTGTTCAGAGTTTTAATATGAGGTATAAGTAACCATAGACTATGTATAGAAGGAGTTCAGCAAGAATGTGGAAGAAGCCAGTTGGAACATGAGTAAACTGGCGGCAATTTCCTTATTGGCATTTGTTCCGACAAGGTTAGCTTCGCACTGTAACAGGGGCAAGTGTGGCTAAGATGGATGCTAATAAAAGCAGGAGTTGCAAATAAGGCATCTGATTGGTCAATTCTTATGGCTTGTATCGGAATTCATTAACATATTATCACCAGGATCATAGAGAGTGCTAAACCACAGATTGTTTAAGCCCACTATAGTGAGTGTGACTTAGAGTTTACCCCTTTCAATGTTAGTCAATAGGAGCCAGAGCGAAACTTTGTCCATGAGCACTTCCATATTGGGCTTCATTAAGCATGGGGGTTAGTCCATCAATATACAGGCTATATTCATAACATGAACATATGATTCACTTGATGGAGCTGAAATTGCCAGAATGATGATTACTCTCACTAGTTTCTAACTGGTGTGTGTATTTTGATATGCCAAATTAATTCTGAGCTGTAAATTTGGGTACAAAATGTGTATATTAGTATATTTTCTAGAAATATGCTCAATATTAAAATCTGATTTTTTGCCCGGCCCTAGAGCCAATATATTACACAGTGTCTGCATAGAAAGCTAAAAGGTTCTGACAAAGAATATCCAATAAGAGAGAAAAAAAATATTAGCACTCCTGCATCAACATTCAATAGGTGGCATGAATTCTAAATTATTCCATCTCTTTGGCAGAGACCAAAAGATTTTGTTTCCTGTTTAGAGCGTAAAATAAAGATTAGTATTAGTCTAGTAATTTAGCCATCTGATTAGAACTGGTTAAGGGGAATTGACCTAACTGCCCTTCGGAGAGACAGTCACACCTGAATAATAAAGCCAATATTGTATTTTAAAGTGGAGAGAATATATTTTAAAGAGAGAAAAGAAACACCATTACCTGAAAATTAACCTAACATATTAATTGTATGAGATGGGAGAAGGAGGTGATGCAGGTAATTTGTATTTTAGTGATATAAACGTACCTTTAAAGGCGGATTCCAGGACCGGGGCTGGTTTAGCGGCGAGCAGGATTCGACGGGCATACTTATTCAAGGCACTGCTCTTTTCACTGGGAACAATCAGCTGTCTGATGAAGCGCGTCCGGTCTCTAATGTCGTAGTTTTGGTCGTATTTGCCCAGGTTAAGTATATACTGGGTCAGCAACTTTGTCTGGAGAAGAAGAAAGAGAAAAAGCGTGATGATTTGCGTGTCGTCAGCATTTTTTTAATATATGTTATACAAGATACGAGAACCTCTATTCGTCCCTTATGTGTTAGGAGCTACGAGACACAAGAGTTGTACTACTGTTCTTACATGCCACTTTGTTCCATTATTATGCTTAGTGACACATTACAGGAAGCAGAAAATGTAATAAAAGAACTAATGAGGAGGAAACATGTGCGATCATAAAGCCTTCTAGAGCCACGATCACCTAATGCACTTTAAATGACTTTGACAATTACAACATTTCAGTAATATAATGTCCATTGTGCTGTATATATATAAAAAAAAATCCAACATGGCAAATGAAAAACATTCAAAAGCCAAAAGTATTGAAAACTGTCTTGCATGGTCTTGCTATAACACTAAAGGCAGTGCATCTGGTCTGTCCAATGTAACTGTTGTGTCCATCAAATAAATAAATAAAACCGTGTGCGTCACCTGCTTGGAGTTTGTAAGGTAGAGTTTAGCTGCAAGATTCACTATTTGCAGCTTGACGATATCTTCTTCCGCGGTGAAAGACTTTGCCATTTTGCGAAGGACGTCAGGAGCGATCTTTGGTACCTTCTCACAGTACTCGCCCATCAGCCAGAGAATGCTCGCCCGGGCCATGGGAACCTAAATATCAATAAACTGGCTTTTAGACGATCGATTACATGAGATGTGAGTGATATAAGGTTTACTCCTGTGACGTCGCAACATTCCAAAGAGCCTATAGTTTAACCAATAACCTCCAAACCACTCTTTAAATGTTTGATATCTGTTTATTTTCTATATACGTAAAAACTCCCATTACTTACAATGTGGTGGAGGGAAGCTGAAAAAATTGTTCTTGGTAACTATGGTGTAGTTGCATCTAGACATAGTTTAGAGAGGGGTGTGCCTTTGATGGCCCCCTACTGGTCATCAACAATTAATGTCAGTGCGACCCCTGCTGAGAGTGAATCATTCTACAGCTAATTTTATCAAGAAAACAACCACGCCATAAACATTGAACCCTGAATGCAATAAGTAATAATTAGAAGTATAATACAAAGCCTCATTGCCTTTGGTCCAGTTTTGATTCAATCCAAGCAGCTGTACTCATTTGGTCTTGGAAATATATAAAAATGTATCCATACTCATTCAATAAAAGTCATTATTTGATCAGAAAACTTCATGATCATAAAGTCACAGGCGAAAATGAGGAGCTATAAACAAGTTCCCACAAACGCTCAATCCATTGGTTTTCCCGTTTTCGTTTGGTTCACTTTCTCTACTGCTGTTGTTAAAGAATGAGAAGATGGGGCTGTGTGAAATGTAGAAGTATATCCACCAACCCAGGAGCTAAACTGTGTGTGCAAGGTAAAATGGCGAGTGCAATTTTAGTGGTTTGATTCCATCGCTGCATGTGCATAGATCCGTTTGCTCTCATGTTCATTTTGCTCACCTGGAACACATATACAACTGCATTCAGCCCAGCTTCATCCAAACTCAACATTGTGCAGCCCCCGGCTAAACTGAGTGAGAACCCTGGTTTAGAGCTTATTATTATGCAAATCTTGGGTCAATCCACACGAAACAAAAATCTCACAAAGTTCGACATCTTCAGTCAGAACATATCAACTATAATATCAATAATGCATTACTTTTTTATATAGCGCTTTTCAAGACACTCAAAGACACTTCACAATCACATATCATTATTTCACTCCAAACACAGCTGTGATAAACTACTAATGTAGCCACATCTGCCCTGGGACACACTGACAGAAGCGAGGCAACCCCTATATGTCATCGGCCCCTCCAACCACCAGCCATTCACTCATACACCAGTCATTCTAGGTAATGTGGGTGAAGTGGCTTGCCTAAGGACACAACAACAGTTTGGCACTTTACAGCCGCAGCCGCTTCCACTGTGGCACCTAGTGTTCTCAGAGGTCTCCCATCACAGTACTAACCAGGCCCTGCACATCTTCAGAGTTTTGACCGAATCTGGCTTTCCAATGCAAGTATGGCCACTATCAATTATTCTATCATAAAAAGGTTTCTAGAAGTGGTGACAATATTAAAAACATATGCATAATGTCAACCAGTAGACATAACTACCAGACATAGAATAACATTGCAGATTTGTGAATATAATTGCTATCAGAAAATGTCCAAATGTTTTCTCAGATCATTTTCTCTTCCCTATAGAGTTGCACTGGCACCTGCCCTCCAACTGAAATAGAATATACAGGAATACAAAGAGTTAAAACCATACCGTGATGTTGTCAAAGAGCTTGGCCATGTGCTTGATGATCTCACTGTGCTCAGACGGCTGAGTCTGCAGCAACTTCTTAATCACCACCACACTCTCAGCTACGACAGTCTCTGCAAAAGCAAAGAGATTGTGAAAAAATGGGGAAGGTAGATTTATCTAAACATTACGTAAAACTGTAACAGGTTAAAGATCAAGAGAATAAGATTTAGAGATCCTTTCTTTGTCCAACAGTGGGGAAATGTCAGTGTTGCATCACCAGTTACAGAACAGAAGGAATGAGGAGCACAGAACATGAGATAAATGAATAATAACTCCGAAGACTGAATAAAATCTGTAACTGAAGCTTAAAAAGAAGCAAGTATAAAAGCTCAAGCTTCAAAATCTCCAAGTTTAGCATAATGAAGAAAGAATTAAGTACAAAATCTGTAACATTAGCACAATAACAAAGTAAGTAAAACAAAAACACCTTTGGCATAATAAAGAAGCAAGAATTGAATACTATATTTTCTAGTGTAAGAAATGTATTGTTGTATGCACACATCTGTACTTGTTAGCAGCAAGTCTGTCCTTATGCTTTGTGTTCTTTTGGTTATGTGAACTTATCATTTACATTCCTGTTATAAAAATACTTGCTTTTCCATTTAACATCTTGGTTTTTTGTTACTTCCCTTATCCTAGCAGAGCTGGGTCGTAACATGAGGACATGGGACAAAGTGACGTGATGTGATTCTATATTGTACATTCTGACATTATCAACGTTTTTTTACCATCTCTATTAGAAAGCAGCAGCACAAGACCATTCAGACAAGTGTCCGCCACCTCCGAAATGTTGGTGGCACATCTGCCAATGGCCTGGATTGTGGCGGCAGCGAAAGCCTTGTCCTGGCTCTTCACGTAGGTCTGTCAACGTCATATTTATACAGTATTGTAACTTAAAAGGCTGAATGAAAGCACAGGCAAATAGAGCAGCATTACAGACCTGAAACTCCCTCAAAATGGTTGAGATGTTGGCCTCATTGGCTAAGTTGGTCAAAATTTCAAGCTGTAAGAAAAATGTTAAACGTTTATTACGCAAGAAAACAATATGTACCATGAAGTGCATTACCTTTAGAGTTTTAATATGTGTTGGATCGGTGGACCTCACATAGAAACTTTTCATATACGGTTCAAACATTCCCTATAGGGACAGAAATATGTATGGTTATTACACCAATTATCAAGCAATTTACAATCACATGCAGAACTTACTTTTCTCTGTATTGACATTGTTGCGATGTTCTGTAGCACAATAAACTGCACTTCTCTACACAAAGCACACACATATTGCACAAAATTAGAATGAAAGAAGAGATATCTCAACAAACACAAAAAATACATCTTTAACAATTTAAGATTATTGATTTTAGTTATTACTTATTTTAAGTGAAACCCCTAAAATATATGTTGTTCAGAATGTCAAATTAAGCCACAATTCCTAAAGTCTGTAACCATCATGGGGAATTAGTTTTTAATTAAAAAGTTAGCACTAATAAAATAAAAGCACTAAATGGGAGTGCCTTAATTATTCATATAAAATCATCTCGGTTGTCCAGTTATTATGACCTGAATAAAACATCCATTTCAAAACAAACAAAAAGTAATAAACATGGTATGATAAAAAAAGACAGGTTAATGACAATGAGAAAGGTTTTAATTAATAACACTGAGGGCCCTACCTGTGACTCCTCAAAAGTCGAACCAGAGACTTTGTAACCAAGCTGACCTCATGTTTCGGGGCCAAATGCCAGTAGAGTTGGCCCACGGACATCACAACCTGCAAATATAATTCCATACCACACATGTTTTTACATGTTCAGACTGTAGAGGCGTGTTTCACCCATAGACTGTATATAGATGGAATGCTAACCCCCTAGCAATGAAGATCAATAGGGAAGTGCTCATGGGCAAGTTTCTTACATTGAAACTAAACTCCTCTGGCTCATTAACCGCTTGAGGGCTTTAAAAATACTTGGTTCAACACTCTCATCAATCCCAGGATTTATATTGTGATATTTAAATTTGGCTTGGTAAATTCCATTCCATTTCTTGTAAATGTAAATGCATATGTAAATACGTCTATATATAGGAGCCCAAATGACAAACCAATCAGGGACCAATCAAATTCGGCTTTAGCTCCTGACAGAACTTAGGCTATAAACTCGATAGTAGCGCAAGTGGGGACTGATTGGAGGTTGGCTACTCAGTCGATCCTACCACCTACCAAAAAATATTACATACACTTGGCTCCACCTGCCCACCTACAGCCTGTTCGAGTTAGCTCAAAGCAGCCTCTTCCACATTAAGGCAAACACTATAGATGACGCGAGCCCTCGGTTGTCGACTCCTTAAACACGGCCTTTGGTTTCAACAAGAGTGAGTTACTACAGCTGCTGTTTCTTCCTTTTCCACTCACAGCAGTGTTTCGGCTCTGCAGTAAAGGTTTGGTGTTCCTCAGCAGCAGCCTGTGATCGGGGTCCATAATGTACGTGTTGGTCTCGGCCTGGTTTCTTTCTGCATCGGACTCATAAAAGGCCTTCTCGCTATTTTCATCCAAAGCGTCCTGAAAGCATTCAAAACAAAACATTAGACCTGGGAAAAGTATGACCCAAATCACATTTCTATGCGGCCCGCAGACCTTTTCTCATCTACAAACTGTTTACTGTCCCCCCTTATAGAAATGAATCTGAATCAATACCCAATGAAGATTTGCAACGTCCTGAGTGCTGCCATGGCATGTTATACCTTATCAGAATTCCTCAAAAACAATCATCTGTCCACAAATTTTTTTTAGCTTTAGTCCAGCTTTGGTTCAATCCAAGCAAGAATTTAAATTTAAGTACAACAAAAAAAATATATATATCTATATGTAATAAAATGTACTCAAAGTATGTCCCATATTGTAAAAAGTTAAAACAAAAATGTTGCAAAAGATGAGCCAACACAGTTTACACAAAGATAACATTGTATATCATCAGATTCGTGTGGTCTCACCCCCTTCCAGGGACTTGTAAACTGTGTCCTGGCGTATCTGGTCAGCATGGAGATGATGACCACCTGCCCCCACTCCTCCACGTCCACCAGCAGGTTACACAGCTTTCTGTAGTTTTTATGAATGAGATCGATGCGGTCTGGACACACTTCTTCAAACGCCATGACCACGCTACCCGCCACCAGCTGTCGAAGGAAAGGGATCAAAAGAGAAAAGTTAATGTTTGTTACTAAAGAAAGCCGACGAGTACTTTATTACCCACACGTGATTAAAAACAGCCTCAGGAGAAATAAAGGTGCAACTGATGAGCCCTGGTCTAAACACTTGTAATCAAAGTTGTAAATTGGCACTGTGTATTTCTTCCAATACATACCAGTCGCCATTTAAGCTGTTAGTTGATAATTAAATGGAAAGGTTTTTTTTTTCTTTGGACCTGCGCTAATTTATTTGACTCAACGGAGTGAAAGAAATCCATCAATGGGATTTTCTTGTCTTAAATTATATTGTTTCTCAGGAACAAAACTCATTTTATGTTCAATTCAGAGGGAAAAGAGGACATGGAGAATGGAGCACCTCAGAGAGCCAATAATCAAGTGTGTTTTATTGGTTGAAGGAAAAAACCCATTTGGCTGTAGCATACCCCTCCGCACCCCCCGCTACCTCCGCCTCACAGAGCGACGGAGAGACTGAGTGAGTGACATGGCAGTGCATTAATATGCAAACAGCATTATCACAGGCAGGCGAGGGTGAAGAGGAGGAGAATGGGAGCCGAATCTGGTCTTCTCAATTAAAGCTTCTGTCCCCCCAGTGGGGCTGTGGGAACCCTGTGCATTTACCGTCAGTATTGTCATGAGCGTGCATTGATCGCCTGCGCACCTGCATGAGTGTGTGTTTCAAATGCAAGACACAGACTCGTGCTTCAGCTCGGCCTCGGAGACACTGGGACTCAGAGACACGCAAACTGCAGCGCACAGTATTTCCAAGTATTTATACTAGGTCTGAAATGATAAATAGATTCATCACAACTAATCAAGTTTTTTTTCCATAAACTATTGTAGTAATTGATAAATTGTTTACCGCACCTTAGTCTCACATTAGGGACGAAATTGCACAACTGGCTTCCTTATTATGCAGAAGCAAGAGATTTTATACTTGCTTCTATAAAAAGCCAAAGTTAGAGATTGTATTTTATTTTAGTCTCGAGTCATTTATCATGTGTTGTGTGCTCCTCATTCCCACTGTTCTGTAACCGGTGATGCAATACTGATCATTTTCCCCCCACTGTGGGACGAATGCGGGACGAGTAAAGGATCTCTTCATCTTAACAAATACTAGAAGATGTACAAATGTCTGGAATGTATTAGAGCAGCATAAAAAATCTGAAACGATTGCAATGTTGGCCTCATTGGCTAAGTTGGTCACATCGCATAACAAATATTAGGAGATGTGTCAATGTCTTATTTCTAATGATAACATGGTCTGTTCTGGGAAAAAATATCTTCTGACGGCTTTACTTCAGCTCTATCTGGGTCAGACTAAGATAAAATAAGTGATCTGCCTTGTAAAAACTAATCAATTACCATAACTGCAAGACTAAGCCGCTAGTATTTTTCTTTAAACTTTGCTCCCTGTAAAAAAATGTGTACGATGAATGCATTTATTGTGGTAGAGCAGGCATAAACTGCATTTATCATTTTAAGTGGTCCCTCTGCCGCTAACCCACACAAGTATTTGAGATCAGAAGTTATCAGTGTTATCCAGCCAACTTAATCTCTGCCAACATAGGTCTTACGCGCCAAATATATACAGTACCTAAATCCAGCCGATGCCTTTATTTGTATATACTGACATTTGTATTAAATTGTGTGTAGTAATTACGTATATGGAGCTAATTGAGATGGTAAACGTTTGTCAAAACTCTGAACAGCCCAAATCCAGTCAAAACAGGTTTACCATCTGGGTCGCCGGCCCCTGAACAAGTCTGGTGAACTAAAGTGGCCCTCTTAATAACACGTTTGGACACTCCTAGGAAAGAATTTGGACACAGCTCTAGCTGTGGTTTATGTGAACAGTAGAGAAAGCCAACACAAGGAGATCCACATTATTCAAAGGCAGGTGTAGACAGACACAAAACAGGCTTGTATTAGTGAAAAATAAAGCAATTTCACTCGGAATCAAAAGGTAACTGCACTTGGACTAAGAATAAAACCTACTGATACAAACGGCCAATAGGAAATTATTTTTCTTTTAAAATTATTTACCATTTTCAGTTCATACGATCATAATGAGACCTAAAAAATGCAAATTATAGATTAACCTAATAATATTTACATCCCTATAGTCCTGGACTGTTGGGGAGAAAACCTGAGACTGAACCCCTGCCTGAGCATCATCCCGCTGCTATAAAATCATTTTCATTGCATTCTATATTGTTGTGGTGTGGTCCTTGGTCGTGAATATATGCATAACTTGACATTATTTGATGTCTGTCTCTATATAGGTTTACTGTCTGAACAGTAATTGAATTGATCAAATTAGATGAAGGGTAAGTGACAAACATTGCGAAATGGCAAGCGATATCCATAATAAATGTAATTATAAAAGTAATTACTAAATGATTGCATAAAGGTCTGTCTTATTTTGTCTTCGTGTTTCGCCCTAAAATGTTAACCAAGTATCAACACAATTAAGTGTTTAATTTGATAAATGAGAAATATTCGAGGGGCTTGGAATACTCAGACAGACACAGGAAATGTGCAGAGTTTTCATCATTATTTTGTACCTCGGTGTCTCTCATGTTATTACAGAGCTGCAGCATGAGCATCCTGGGGGGGCTTTATGCATTCTCCTCCAACTTCCCCCATTAGACACTGCTCCAAGGTAAACTACATGCACCATCAACAAAACTGACACCCCAATCTATAGAGTTCATACACCTCCTCCTCCTCCTCTAGCATATTATCTACCCTGGGTGACAAGACAGTAATGGAAAAATCACACTAAGCAAATGGTTCTTCTAATAACAATAAATTTCCTTTAAAATTATGAAGGGCCCAAACCGTTTCCTTGCATCTATTTTGCTATGAATTCTAATTAGGGTGCCAGAGAAGCAGAGATTGCTGGGTCATCACGCAAGAGACAACGTGCGCCTTTTTGATTGATGGCCTGGTGTGAGGTCGGCCTATCCTCCGCTCGCTCACGGCGCTCCTCCTCGGTTAAATTAATGGCCATCTCACCTAGCCTCTAATCATAGTCCCCTCCGCTCCTCCCTTCTGCTCTCATTTCAATTTTGCGGGAGGTGCAGGAGGGGGACGCGGGGCAGAATCGATCATTTATCTTGTAATGGCTGGATAATAGATCCATCAAAGTAAAACAGCTGCACAAACTCTTATGTTGTCTCTGTCATCAGGCCTTCCCATTTTCTCTTAAACCATCCTGCCTATATGCAAGCCCCATGTGTCACAGCTATTTAACCAAACAGCACATCTGTAAAGCTAAATGTCATCCGGGCCCGGCTCTACTGCACAGATGGGGACAATAATCAGACGTTTCCTGCAGCGAAAGGAAGTGGGGTGACAAAAGCCCATTAGCGTTCCAGTTCATGTTTACCAAAAAAAGTTTAAACTATAACTCGACTATTTCAATACTAGAACAAAACACGTTTTCAATTCCACAGTGATCACTAATGAAAGCTCTTTTTGGACAAAGAACTTCCTATTTTTTTAACTTAAAATAATAACACATTTAAGGATTTGATAGCATCAGGTCCTTCTGATAATTTTTCTCTAAGAAAAGGCTCGAGCAATCTCACATTGTTCGTTTCAACAACAATCAGTATCTAAACTTTCTGAAATTAGTTTCTAGTTTCACAAGGTTCCTCTTTGCGGCCTCACAGTTTTGCTTTGCTTTTTTTATAGCATGCTTCGTATGCGCCGCATGTATCCAACAACATCATGTAACCGCTAGTATCACATGACAGATACCTTTATCTAATGTCAAGAAGAGCACACCACAGTGATTAGTTCAGAGTCTACCACAGTCTTCCTCTAGTCCTGAGTCCTGCTCCTGCCCCTCAGTGCGGTGTCCTCTGAGTGCTGCTGCAGCTGTCAGAAGCCGTGCATACACTGCAAAATACAGCTGCTGCAGCACTCAGGTCTACAACGAACAGGTTTGATATCTCTGCAATCGCTCTCCTGCAATTGTGAGTTCAGGAGGTTAGAAAAATGTAAGTGTGTGGTGAGGGGTTTTACAGACATACAACAAAACACTACTGCTTACGGTTTATTTTTAGAAACCCCATTAATGAGGGACCACTGCACGACCTTTAGTATCAATAAATATCTGATTTTGGATCATTTGACAACCATAAAAGGTAACATAACCTGTCAATGTATTTTACAATTTCCAACATAATGATTTCCAAAAACAGACCCATGATAAAAAAAAATGGTATTTGCTACAGAGTAAAGAAAAAGCAGATGTCCATCTCTCCCACTGCTTTAATAAGAAAGGTAAACGCTTCAGTATGTTATTATCGTGCCCTCTCCTCTATTCCAGCATCATATGGCATGGATAGGGAAAAGTCATCTGTCTTAGTTAGTGTCTCTGGCTGAATACGCAAAAAAAAAAATCTGCATTATCCTCTCTGACTTGCCGGTTTTGTTTATGCAATTGATAACTAAATGGATGCAATTTATACACTTTTTACATGTTAATAAGATTGCATTACTAATAAACGTAAACATTAGGTATAGACGAAAGAATTAACCTAATCTGTGGTCTTTTTTGTGTGTAAAGGTGATTCTGGCCTTCAGAAAATCAAGCTTTAGTGTGAAAATTCCCTTTAAATGAACCCTTAACCAGGAGCATCTGAAGATTTGTGGTTTTAAGTGGGTGTTAACAAACCATGGCATTGCGGAATAAGCTGTGGGGATCTGGGGCTAAAAGCACAATCGCTTGTCTGGGGCGCCCTCAAGTGGTCTGTTTTTACCAGCACCAGAGGCAGAAAAAGGAGAAATAATGTCACGTTACTTACAGTGCTTTTGTCTTTCAATAGTTTTTCAATGACTTCGATCAGCTGCTCTTTCTGGTCCGGGTCAAGGCTTAAAAATCAAAGAGAAAATCAAGTTAAACACTGCTTGAAAAGGGGAAGCAATATTCACAAGTGATATTTGAAGGTGAAAAACGTCCTCACCTGAAAAGTTTCTGGATGGCATGGGCTGAGGTTTTCCTGACGTAAGGGGAAAGGTCGCTGGCCGCTTCTTTGATCGCCAACATCATAATAGGAACAATTATGGGAACACGGATGCTGGACAAAACTCTTAACGCGCTGGCTCGGATGAATTGGTTTGGATCCTGATAGTGAAAAGATAGAAAAAAAGTCTGAATGTGATGAGATTTTCCCGCAAAAACAGAGCAATGGAAGAGAAAATGGAAACCTTAAGGGCTCTCTGGAAGGTGCTGATCGACAGCAGAGCCAGATCCTGCTGCTCCTCGGCGTATCGTACAAGGTAAACATAGACGAGCTTCTTCAACTGCGGGAGGAAAACAAAGGGATGAAAATCTGTCATGTTTTTATCTCATAAAATAAATAAACCTTAGACAAGAGAGCCTTTATGGCACATTGGTGACTTCCGTGCTTTTGCTTGTATGTACAGATTTCTATTTTGTTGTTTCATTATTATATTAATAGTTTGTCCCAACAGAAGAAGTTGTCAAGTAACGTTTTTCGTACAAATTAGACCAGAATCTGTAATCTTCATGAATGATGTGACACAAATATACATGTGAAAACTAGTGACGGAACTAGGGTTGTTATAGGAGTTTTAGTCCTGTACTTGCACTCCCACTGTTTCTTTGTATTTATATAAAAAGAAAATAATCAAAACCAAAATCATATGCATTCTTATTTTTGTTAACATTTGTATTGTTAATGATTTATTTTTATTTTTTTATATCAATAGTGTTGTACTTTATTGTACCCAAATGTACTAAACCATATCTTATTATATAAATCAAATTTAAAGTCCCTTGCATCTAGATACGTATCGTGTCATGCATATCCATGTACGCATCGCAAAAGTGTAGCAAAAGTAGTTTATAGGGCTGCAGATCATTTTATTTTTATTTTTTTAATTGCCATTTGTATGTGTTTTTAAATGTTGTCCATGTGAAGCACTTTGAGTTGCCTTCTGTATGAACTGTGCTGTAGAAATTGATTGCATCGTATCGTGACCTACGTATCATGATAATGCCAAATACAGGACGATCCAGACCAGTTTTAAAACCAAGAACCACAGACTTCATTACCTGGTTAAGTCCAGAAACTCCAGCTTTATCCATCCAACGATGAATACTTTTCGGTGATTTTATTTATGCTACTTTCGCCAATGCGTTGCTGTGACATAGCTCGGGGTTGGCCAATTACAACAATTACAATGAGGAATCAAAACACCTTTTGAAACTTGCTTTGGTTAATAATTGATGGACAAAAGCAGCTGCACATCTACACTTAAAATAGAGCGCTATTCTCTAAGCTGCAAGTGAAGAGTGGAAAAAGGGGTAAGTGAGAAAACATGAGCCCAGATGTAGCGGCACCTTAGCAGCTGGTGTGAGCGAGGAGGGAGTGGAGACGTGACTATGGGCTTTCTGCTCCAATTACACCCACCCACCTGCTTCCCCTCCCCTGCCACGAGCTACTTTGGATGCATGCCTCACTCGCAGATTGAGCACAAGGCCTCCTGTTAACACGCTGCCCCTCACTCTACCTGAATATTCTGCTGCTACTAATCAATATTCACAACCCTAGGAGATGAAAAAAAAAACACCTTCCAGAAACACTATTGTGTGCTGCAAAGACAAGACACATGTTCTGCACACAAACAACATAATTATGAAGCAATAGAATAATTTATAACTAAATGATTTTTCATTTAGTACCTCAATATTTTTACTGGCGACATTCTTGACAACAGCTGGAAACAACTCTGAAGCGTTTTTCCCCTTGGCGATCAGCTGAAAAACAAACAAAACAACAAGGACTCGATCACGCAAAATGAGGAAAAAACTTTTACGTTAAAGCGCGGCGTGTCAGATAATGAACCGTCTGTCTTCGTTTTTCACGCTCACCCCGACAATCCTCTTCATGGCCTCCAATTTAGGCGACTCCTTGTTGCTCTCCAACATCTCTTTAAGGTCTTCGTTCCTACAAGGCCAGAAAACACAGTTAGGGCCTGTGAAAGCTGCATGCAATCCACATCTGCGTTAGTCACACACATTACACAGCTCCCATGCCATATGCCATGCGGTCTATAGGAGGCACAGCACCAGCCTGATGTGACAAACACCATCAAACTGTGCAATGGACATTTGGAGACGTAACAAGTTTCAAGATTATAACGTAATATCATAACTTTTGCGTTGTACAAACTTGAAAAGCGGGTTGATTAATGTGTTGATCAATGTGCAATTCTGCAACTTCACAATATCCACTCAATGTCTACTTTATCTACTTATCCTACCCTATATGTATAGAACTTTGCACTATATATGTAGATACAGATAGATATATATAGATACACTGATATTGAAGCATTTACAGCTAGCAAAAAACACATAGCAGTATATTTAGTGTGCTCTCTGTGTGCTCTTTCTACTGTCCTGTGCACTGCAACATTTCCCCACTGTGGGACGAAAAGGTTATCTTATACTTATTCTCCTTAAAGTTAGAATCTCTTATAGAATACATTGAAATATTTTGAGCTGGAGTTCCTACATTTGAAACAAAATCAATGTAACTAGTTCCGAGCTCTCTAAACAGTTCTGTCTCTAGTTTTCACATGTATGTATTTTTGGCCTCTGTGACATCTTTAGAAAATCTGTTTCAGTGAAAAAGGGATTACAGGCCCTCGCTGAGCCAACCAGGTCACAGTATGTGAAAGACAAAAATGCGTTCTAATAAGATTAAGACAGCATGTTGTTTGATTTGTTCACAAAATTCTACAATAACTTTAAGATAGACAGAGATAGAGGAAAAGGACATTCGCCATATTAAAAAGTACTGTAGACAGGCATTGTATGCATATATGGTATTTCCAACTAAATTCATACATTCCAATGACTATATTGTACACCATAGCAATAACATAACAATAAATCTCGCGGGATAACACTGGCTTCCAAAGTATTTCCGTGTGCATTGCTTATACCCGGGCTTTTGGTCATCTTTGGGAGCGCAGGTGTTTTGTGTGAGAGCCTGTTCCTCTTGACTGAGCCCAGTCCTCAGAGTCAGTTGTAAGTTCTCGGCCGATGTCAGTGCAATCTTCACAACTCCCACTGCCTCAGAGCGTGCAAAAAAACCCACTTCCATGTTGCTTTCAATCCACAGCAGCCCACAGCCAGTTAAGCAAGTCCACACAAAGCTTCCTCCGGGTATTCTGCTTGTGCGCTGTCCAAACTGTTAAAATGCACAGGAGCAATTATTTTCCTTTGAGTTAGGATCTTGCTTTCTACATGTAGCTGATGGAAAGAAGCCACGCAATCCTATGGCTGAGTGTCTTGAGATGCCCTTCCCTTTCGATGAGTCCAGAAAATGTCACAAGATGCATCGTCAGCTCCTTCTTCTGTTCATTGTGGCATGGCCTCGTCGAAATAGTCCACACTTCCTTAATAAAACATTCCAATCCTATGGTCCGGCTGGTCAACTTTCTACTCTTACTACAGGATTTCTCTTGGCTCCTTTGGTTCTGATAAGGCTCTCATTCTGTGCAACTGCTGCTGTAACTTGTCAGGAGCAAAAAAGGAGAAAAAGGAGGGCCTTATCTAGACTGGTGGGAAAACTACCTCGACTTCTTCACAACTACATTCAAGGGCAAAGGCCTCTGAAAATGTGATATGAAGTTGGAAAAACTGGCCTAAATCCAAAATCAACCCAGTGCAGTGAATGTCAGGAAGTGTTTTTTAACGTTGTTTTAGGGTGGGACTGCCATCAGTGTTATGTTGAGGGTTTATAAGCAAGAATCAAGGTTTGCGTTTAGTCTGGAGTTTTCCCTTTTACAAAGTTTTAGTCACAGACCAGTTGCGTTATAAAATCAACATACATCAGTACACTAAACCCATATCACTCATGTGAAAGTAGAAAAAGAGAAAAGAAGGCCTTGAGACAGCTCGGTGATACTACTTTGTTTTCTGTGGCTGGATTAAAAAAAGAAAAAGAAATCATACAAGGTGAATAATTGCAAATAAACGGGGTAGGTGCTAATGCTAATTTCGAGGGTCCACTCTAAGAGAACATTGTCAGAGGTTGTGATTTGAGGCCTTGATTAGGTCTGTAACTAATACATATTTTGATAATCGATTACATGGTCTATTATTCTTTTTTTTCATCGATGAGCTGAAATTAGTCAAGATCCTGAAATGTCAGTGAAAATGGGATTTTGTAAGATAAGAAAAGGATTCCTTTATTCGTCCCACAGTGAAATAATAAAAATAACAATAATAATGTATAAGCCACCAGATTAAACCAAGGTTGCAGTTTGTAGCTTCATGATGGTGGTTTAGGAAAATTTGAAAATAAGTTTTAAAGGAACAATATGTAAAAAATCTGGCCAAAAGTGGTCCTGCAGTCACAGTCAATATTTTGTAGTCCTCTCCCACTTTCCCTGACTCAGGTTGCCAGATACACACCAAATCCAGCAGCAAACACAGGGAATTATTTTATCAGTTGTTTGTCTGTCTCCTTCACATTGCCATGAGCCGTACTAATATTGAATCAATGTTGAATTTTTAATTTTTATTTGGACATTTGAGATAAAAAACACAAAACAAAATAAAAGCAATGTAATTATAGATTATCCAAAATAAATAAGCAATTGATGTCCAAAATAGGAGTGGGAAGAATGAATGTTGGCACATATTTTTTCAGCGTATCAACATCAGGGTTTGCTCCAGAGGATATCACCTTTCAATTTTATTTATTCCCTATTTTTTAGACAAACATGTATAAGTCCAACATCAAAAAGAGACTAACATTATTTTAATTGGGGTACATGTGGTCTTAAATGATTCTTTTTAAGTTCTGCAAAAAAAGGTCTTGACCATTGTCTTTTACTGTTTTTAGAGCAATCTGTCATAGAAAAAGGCTCTACTCGATATCGAACCCAGGTTACTGCATGGAGAGAGCATAGTGACGAATGGACTCAAAGCAGCAAATTTTGCATCACACGTAAACTTATCAGCCGTCTCAATTGTTCAAAGGCGTCCCGATATAAATCCTCCTTTTAGTCTTTGTTTTGTAATTAATTATTTGAGAGTCATAGCAAGACCTTTTTTAGTTCTGCGGCCACATGTTATTTTACCAGTGAGATTAGTGAGCCGCGCGGAGTTCTGGCAACCAGATCACAGACTTCCATGACACTTCCTGATTGGCGAAACGGCGGAGGGTAGGACATCAAAATCAAAACAATAACAACTTTTACGGGTCGTAAAACTAATTTTGATATTCAAATATCTCGGCTGAACTACTGCTATCAGTTAAAGATGTATTCGAAAAGAGCATGATTTAATAACGCCTTTTGAAATATGGGGGACGTTTAATGATGACTTGACATGCAAATATTACATACTTTAAACCATGCAATATCTGGAAACAAAACTAAATCATTTCATTGTTGTCATGTGACCAATCTCAGTCAGTCAAGACATGTAGTCAGCAGATACCAGAGAAACAAGAGCACAGTTTACCCTAGTTACAAGCACATACTATAGCAGGGCAGCGTTTAGACACGAAGGGGCGAGAAGAGGGAACTTGCCAATCAAGAGTGTTCATTTATTATAAAAAAAAATAAAAAATGAAATCTATATTCAAGGTGTTGAAAGTTAAAGTTTTGATAATTTACTGAATAAAAAAAGTAAGTATTCAATAGATTACTCAATTACTATTTTTTATTTTTTTTATTCAACTTTATTGTCATTACAAAGTCAGAACAATGCAACGAAATGCACTTTAGCGTCTAACCAGAGCAATAGCGCAAGTATAGGATAATATTTACAACACAGACAAATATATTTGCATATATGAGAGACTGTACAAGCTGCTATTGCTAGTATATACATCAATTAAATGTATCAGTAAAGTGCTTTGTATGAGATTTTTTTTTTATTATTAATGTCACAAATTCTACATTTTAAGCAATTTAAAGTTAGAGATTGAGCCCCAATAATATTGGGCGGCACGGTGGCTGAGTGGATAGCACTCTAGTCTCTCAGCAAGGGCCTTTCTGAGTGGAGTTTGTATGTTCTCCCCGTGTCTGCGTAGGTTTCCTCCAGGTACTCCGGTTTCCCCTACCACTAAAAACATGTATAATAGGTTCTGGCATGTGCCTCCTGTACTGGCCCCGCTCCCATCTCTGTGTGGAGTGAGAGACTAATGCCCAAAAATAACAATTGTAAACCGCTTTGTGACTCTGGTCTGTGAAAGGCGGTATAAAAATAAAGATTACTTACAATATTTCAATGTCGATATGCAACTCAGACTTGTCATATCTCAATCTAAAGATAATTGTGTTAGGAAAACATCTCCATCACTTGTTTATAAATATCCCAAAACAAGATTATTCCTAAAAATAAAATAATTCTGTGATTCAGTCTTAACTACTCCATGATATTATGTCCAAAACTCATTTTGTTCTGTAAAAAACAACCAAGAACACATAACTACTACTAAAAATACTAAAACGTCCCTGGTATGCGCATGCTAACATATCTAGAGCAATTAAAATTGTGATGAAAACTTTTTTAAATGTGCTCTGAAGAACACAGTAAGTTTAGGATGCTAATAAAAGTGCAACCCCTTTCCCACCAAGCTGGAACCTGGTGCCCGAAAGAAACACTGGCACCAATTCAGAGGGGCCAGAAATGTTTTTATATGCTCATAAAGTGTGTTGTTATGGTAACAGGCACTGGTCCTGCTCTGAGCTAGGACCAGCAATAGTCTTGAACAGGCCCGGAACCAGCACCTTGGCAGAAAAAAGGGGTTTATTAACTTCAGTTACTGTAATAATCTGGGAGAAGGGGGAGGAGCTACTGCACATGTAAGTATGCAAGTTTTCTTTATTTATATAGCACTTTTCTGAGAGGGATGAGATGCTTTTCAATGGCTGTGGGCATTTTTCTTCTCACTCTACACAGGGACAGAAGCAAAGTCGCCATACACGAGGCGCATGCCGGGATAGGTACCTGAGCATCCGGAGGAAACCGGAACAGACAATGGGAGAACATGCAAACTCCACACAAAAAGGCCCCATCTGGAGGTGAAATCTAACCCAGGTCCTTCTTGTTGTGTAACCACTACCCCACTGTGCCATGATGCAAACTCTGCATAAAGAGATTCAAACCCAGGACCCAGAGGCAAGAGTATAACCACTGCCCAATGTATTAGTTAATGCCCCTCACCTATTGTAAATAACGGCATACAGCGCCTCTGTGATACATATCTTCACATACCCACTGGTTTTGTCTTGAGCCAGGCACATGACCCTGGTGTCATGTGAGTTACGAAGCAGGATATTAGGCTACCAACTATTCAGTCAGTCAGAATAAAATACAACATCTGGATACATCAATATTCAGGTATAGAAAAAGTATAACATTTTCAACAAATGCAAAAATACAGAACAGCCTCACAGAGTCATACAAAAACAAAGAGCCTGAGGTGCCAAATTCCATAGTGCAGTGTCTAAGTAAACGAGGACCGTCTGACATCTAGTGGCCAGTTTGGTGCAGTAAAATTACAATAAAAAAGTAAAATCGTTTTACAAGATATAACAGATTACCAAATTTGCTTTTATTTGTAGAATGTATAAGTAGTAACGGTTAAAAGTTTGTGTCGCTATATTGATTTGCTATGAATGAAAGACGTGGGCACTGCAGCTGTCAGACGTGGATGCTTTGGTCGAAAACAAGTTTCGATTGTCACGGAATTAGATTGTAACCCCAAATATTAACGCGAAAAAGACAAAAATGGGATTCTTACTTCTTAAAATCAGCGCTGAAAAGTCCAAAGGCTGCTCCGCTGTTGTTGGAGGTGCTCGGGGTGCTCTCCTGCCCCGCGTCCACCGCCGTCTCCACTCCTGTCTGATCATTGTACAGCGCAGCACTTGACATTATGAGTTTTGCAATCCCAAGGGCTAACTTTATAAAACTGCAAATTGTATTTAATCGTATGTCGGTTGCACGAAATCAACAAACTTTTCCAGATTTTCTATCAAACTTTTTTCTTTTCCAGTTCCACACTCGGTAGCGGAAGTGTGAGCTGGACAAGTGGGCGTGACATGTGACATGAGAGTCACATGACAGGGAGCCCAAGGAGACCAAAACTACCAAGACTGATAAAATATTTATATACCTATTTAAAGCTTCAAATATACTTAAAATGAATACATTTACACCAAATAGTTAATTTTGTTTTTTAGTTTTTTATTTTCAATAGGGGCGTGTCGTTTGTGTGGTCTGTTGTCATGGAAACGAGCACGTCGAGGGCGGTGTTAGGTAGGGGGGGATCTCGTAATTTTTTACCTTTTTACGTTAGTTATTAACGGGATTCTGGTTGTAAAAATAACTCAAACTTGTATCATTCAGCGTAGGTGTTACTAAAGCATGTTCTAAATCCCGTCTCGTTACGTACCGTTTTTTGCGTTAGTTTCTATGGTGACGTCTTACTTCCGTGTAGTATGGTTGCGTGACATTTGATCCCTGCTCTTCGCTGCTGTGCTCTGATAACTGCACTGGCTGGCCATAGTCCACACCATGGGCTGTAGATCCAACTAGTGTAGCCTTTTTTTAATCCACTATGTATTAAAACTGCTTACCAAGGCAACAGACTCGCGCAAATTATAATAGCAATAAGATTAGCCTAAACTTTTCTTAGCTGTTGGCGCACAATGTCAAACTTTGACAGTAACCCTTTTGCTGACCAGGATATAAACAACCCATTCCAGGTAACTTTAAGATTTTCCTCACAATGATACATGCATGGTACATACATTTTGGATTGGATTTTCTGTAGCCTGTGTTGCTTACATGGCTGCTGCACTTGCACTTGCCTTCTTTGAGTCTGCAGATATGGCCTTTATTATAACATTTCCTAGGTTTATCCAGCTAAAACACAATTCTCGTGTTTGTGTCTATGCCATACGCCTGTTTCTAATGGGTTACATGCTTATACCACATCACAGTCCTATCCAAGTCAAGATCATTACTCATTCTTCCATTCTGCACATAATGTAGGCTTACAGAGTGGTGTTGTTGGCTCTCACTTATCTCCTGGAGACAAAAAGCATTTGCTGTAGGGGTAATGTCAATTGTTCATGATCTCATATGGTACTGTCATTTAAAATTCGGGTGACATATATTCTCTTTCTGGTCATATTTTATTGATTTGAAAAACCTTGTTGCCAATTCGGGCTGATTGTAAAACAAGGAAGATGGAAAATGTCTTTGAAGGAATGACACTGCAGCTGTAGCAGGTCTAACAAAACCACAACAACCACAACATAAGCCTCAATCATTACTATTTCTATTTCTTTCTTTTGCACGGCATGGACCTGCCAACAATAGCTTTATATGTTCATTGTTCTAAATGTGCATCTGCTGGTTTGACTATTCATTAGCACAGTATTAAAATTTAAACACAACGTATTCTGAAATATTGATGACCCTGGTCTGGTGACAAGGCCTGCACATTGTGTGGGGTGGGTAGAGAAGGAATGCTCTTAGAAACTTAAGAAACACACCGGGACTGCATTAGAACTGCTTGATACTGGGAGAGGATACAATACCAAAGGGCACATAGATTGAAGATTTTATTGCTTGTTCACTGACTAATGGTGAGTCTATTTAATTTTTTTCTATTATGGTCTATCTATTTAACAAAATACAATATAAGATTGTTTGATGATTGCTTATGCTTGGATTGTATTTTGGTTGGATAAAAGGTTTTTGTTTGTATTATTATTTCTTTGATACTTTATCAACAGCAACAACAAAAGCAATAATAATTTCACCTACACAAGACAGAAAGGATTTACACACGATGTAGCTATTCCACAGACTCTGAATAGAAGTACAGCAATCACAACATTTTACATACATACACACGCAGCAAATTTCGATTGTACATGTGTGTATACTCTGGCTATGTACACAATGTAAAAAGTTCATTCATGTAAAAGTGTCTTATTTTTAAGGCTTAGAAGGTTTTTTAATAAGAAATAAATGGGTTGCAAGTTAGTAATCTTTATTTATATACCGCCTTTCACAGACCAGAGTCACAAAGCGGTTCACAATTGTTATTTTTGGGCATTTGTCTCTCACTCCACACAGAGTGAGAGACAAATGACTAGCTTCATAAAGGTTTTGGTTTATTGAAATAACCTTCTATGGCTGTGTTCACTCATAGAACATTTGTAACAAAGATGTAATAAACCTAAACCCATTATTATCACATAATTCTATCTACAGTATTATATATTTACTCAAGACAGCTTTACACAAAGTTTAAAGCAAAAATAAATGTAGGGTCACAGTGAATAAATCAGTCTGAATAGATGTGATTTGATTGTGGGTTGGAAATGTGGGAGAGTGTCGGTGTTGCAGAGGTCAGGGGGAAGGGTTCTGCCCGCCTTGTCACCATGTAGAACCCCATGTTCTACATGGTTGCACCAGGGTTGGAGGGAGGAGGAGGAGGAGCAGAGGAGCTCAGAGAGAGATGGAGAGTGAAGTTGAGGATGAAAGTGAGAAGCAGAGATTTGTACTGAATGCAGTGGGTGATGGGAAGCCAGTGGCGCTGCTGTTGGACAGGGGTGATGTGGTTGAAGGAGATGTGTGAAGATTTGTTGATTTCTTTTCTATTGAGTCGACAGAACCTCATCACAAATCAGTTTTTTTGTTCACATGTTCAGGATCCATCAGTGGCTCAAGCAAGGCACACCGTTCCTCCACCATTAGAGGAGTACAACCCATTCACAGATGGAAAAGTGGTAATACATTAATAATACAATAATACATTCATTAATTAAGTTCTACTGTTTTCCAACTAACAATCTGACTTTGACTTTGTAATCTCCATCTTAGCCATTATTCTTTTTATTCATTCAGTATGTTGAGTAGATAAATACATGTTGTTATTGTTGTAGGGTCCAGCGGGTGTGGCGGCCAGGACTGCAGCCTCCGCCTTTAACACACAGCCAGCCATCATGAAAGCCACTGAAGAGCCTCCAGCATACTCTCAGGAGCAGCCACAGGTGAAGCGGGCTGAATGAGCAATGAATAATTACTTTTTTGTGTCAATCATGCATCATTATTATCAGTGAATTATTATCAGTATGTTAAGAATGGTGGAATGTGTCCAGGGAGCCAGTGAGCTGCTCAAGAGGCAGGAGGAGCTGGAACGCAAGGCTGCAGAGCTGGACCGCCGCGAGAGAGAGATGCAGTCGCTCAATGCTGCAGGAGGTCAGGGTTCTCACTTTTACCAAAGAGATTTTTGGATTTTATTGGTACTAAAATTAAAAATTAAAATTGTAATTTTAAAATATAACAATTACAAGTTTTCTGGGTTTTTTCAAATTGGGGATTATAAAACCAATCATTGACTTCCTGCTCATAGCTGCAATACTGATTCATACACATTCATAGACAACATTTTTATTTTTGAATCTATTTTTCCCTGTAAGCCTGTGTGTATGGTACAAAGTCTGATATTTCTAAATGTATGCACAAAACCATTACTGTCAAATTCAATTTATTTTTGTATAGCCCTAAATCACAACAGTAGTCGTTTACAAAGTTCAGAGACAGAGAATAGAGAACAGATAGAGAATCTAACAGTTCAAACACAAGAAAAGCAATAATAACAAACACATAGGAGCTATGTGTCCATAGGGAGCGAATATGTTTTAGTTTCCCAAAATCCACAAAGCTTTTAACTTGTCAATGGGAAGTTTAATGACAAACCATAGATATCCAGAAAAAAACAGTTGATGAACCCAAGTAAAAGATTAGATTTAGTCTTGTCTCGTTTTAGTTATCAGAATCATGTTTGTCAGAAGGGTTCTCCACAGGATTTTTCATATTGTGTAAAGACTTTATAATGTAAGAACCTGCCGAGAACTTTCCAGCGCAGAGATACTTACTTACTGTATCGATGTGCTTTTCCATTTGCATGTTACTTAAAGAAGAAGCGATCAGTATCTAAAACACCTGTAACTCACGCCCCAAAACGTCCAATAGTGACTTACAGGGTTCTTTTACTGATGAAACAATAGAGTTAAGTACCCAAGCTTTATTTTGGTTGCTTATCGGGCTTCCTTTTTGTCGATATTTAAGGGATTAGTGAGTCTTTTTTTAAGGCCTTTGTTGACTAAATGATTTCATCGTAGTTTTGGTCAATGAAATGAACACTTCTGAGGAATGCACCTTTAGAGACAACACAAGTTTGTTAATGATATTGTTCTGTGTTTTAGGAAGGAGAAACAATTGGCCCCCTCTCCCTGAGAACCTCCCTGTGGGCCCATGTTTCTACCACGACATCACTGTGGACATTCCTGTGGAGTTTCAGAAAACTGTCAAGATTATGTACTATCTGTGGATGTGTAAGTCACATGATCTTATAGTTTTCTCTGAGAAAACCCAGTTACTCTTTCATTGTGTTCAGGACAAAGAACCCGCTTTTTAAGAGTAACGGCACATGACAAAACTGAGAACAGGATGAAGTCATGTGGTCAAAGTCAGATGATGTAAACAAACTGATTGTGTGACGCATTTACACACCTAACCCTTTATGGTTTCCTCAAACATTTGATGGATCACTTTTTCAGACACTATTTCTACTTGAAGCTTGGAACTAAAATCTACCTCATTGGAGCATCTCAATCACTTGGTTTTAGACACTTTTACCATCAAACTGCATCACAACCATTTGGTAAAGGCCTATAATAAACAAACTAGATGTTAAAAAACAAGTTTAAGATTCAGATTAAGAGCCTTTATTCCTTTCTTTGTCCCACAGTGGGTTAAATTTCAATGTTGCATCTCTAGTCACAGAACAGTAGGAATAAGGAGCACACAACATTAGATACATGAACAAGCCCTCTATACTAAAAAAAATGAAATCTGTAGGTTTAGCATAAAAAAGAAGCAAGTATAGAATCCCGAGCTTTAGCATAATAAGGAAGTAAGTGTACAATCTCTAACTTACAATTTAAAGAAGCAGGTATAAATAACTATATTTTTGTGCAAGAAGCAAAAAAGATAGTGATTCTACTTTCTTGAAGGAGTTAAGTTTGTATTGTTATTACCAAAAGAGTAAACGTAGGATATTCTGGTCATGGGAATTACTTAAAATGCACCAAATAAGATATAAAAAGATATGATATCTAACCCTTTATTAATCTCTCAATGGAGAAATGTACAAATATGGACTTCCTTGTATAAATTGTTGCGTGTGAAATGGCAGCTGAATGTTGTATATAACACTATGGTACAACATTTAAATGCTGGGGTTTAGCTGTTACTGGTATTTCTGTTTTACCCTTATCTTTTCCTAACACAACACTGATCGGACTGCACAAACTCCCTCTGATATTGTGAATCTTTGTTTGTAGTTCATGCTGGAACCCTGTTTGCAAATGTGGTTGGGTGTTTGGCCTGGTTTTGCGTGGACTCAGGACGAGGAGGAGACTTCGGCTTATCCATCCTTTGGCTCTTAATGTTTACTCCCTGCTCGTTCGTCTGCTGGTATCGACCTCTCTACGGAGCGTTCAGGTGATGGGAACAAAACACAAAACCTGTATTTATGCCACAGCAACATTAACAAACCATACATATATTTCTGTTTTGGTTTTTTTTCCAGGAGTGACAGCTCATTTAGGTTTTTCATTTTCTTCTTTGTCTACGTTTGTCAAGTGGGTGTGTATGTCCTGCAGTCTATCGGCCTCAACGGCTGGGGCACAAGGTGAGGAAAAAAAGCCTGATTCTTCTTTTCCCATGTTTTTCATGCCAATTCAATGTATTTTTGTCTCGCCATAAATCACAACAGTAGTTTTATCTCAGAGGACTTTACAAAACCGTCGAATTCGCCAACACAGATCAGAGAATCAAACCATCCTAGGTTCGATTCCACCTCCAGGCCTTTCTGTGTGGAGTTTGCATGTTCTCCCCGTATCTGCGCATGGGTTCCTCCGGGGTGCTTCGTCTTCCGCTGCCACTAAAAACATGTACAAAAGGCCGAGCAATTTCCTCCTGTATGATGACCCTGCTCCCATCTCTGTGTGGAGTGGGAGACAAAAGTCCAAAAAACAACTATTGTAAATGCGCTTTGTAAGTAAGTAAGTAATGTTTATTTATATAGTGCATTTTACTGATCAAGGTCACCCAAAGTGCTTTGCAATTGTTCCGAGTTCAGATATTTTTTATATTTGTGACTCTGATCTGTGAAAGGAGCTATATGAATAAACATTACTTACTATTTACTTACTTACATAGAACTATTGATCCTTAAAGAGCGACTAAACACCAAATCAACTTTTTTTTAACTCATTACCTGCATAAATATGTTTATTGTAGTGCTCTCTCCATATCCTGGTAATTTTTTTTGGTATTTTAGTGCAAATTAGATAAAATCTCACTTTTGGGCCTAAAAACGTCTGTGTGGCGCCCTCTCGACCTTTTCAGTGGTACTACATTTAAGTTTGGTCTTGGCCTCTTCATTGACTCTGTAATTCTCTATGACGTCAGTTGGTGTCTGTCTGCGCCAGTGACATAAACCCATCCAACTCTCACACACGCCCCAGCATTAGGTTGCAGTATTCTGGCGACATCTAGTGGATTAAAATTAAATTACATCAGTTGACAGCCACCTCTGCTGAGATAATTCAGTGATTTAGGTTCAGGTGTGTAGCTCTACAATTATCTTAGTGTGTAAACGAGGGAATGAGACTTTCTGGTGTGTAAACTATTGCTTTAGGCAGTGATGACAACTGTCTGTTTTTTTTTGTGTGACAAGTGAGCTGTCAATCACAGCCCAGACCACGCCCAACTCTAAGCCCCCCTTCTTGTTCCTTGGTCCTCCAGACAGCTCCCTTTTTAGAGAACATTTTCAAATGTTCATGTGGGCGGAGTAAGGCTGAGCACAGGTGTTTAGTCGCTCTTTAAGTGGCGGATGATCAATATCCATAAATGTTGATAAAGCAGTTTTTGTTCTTGGTTTCTTACAGCGGTTGGATTTCCGCCCTCACATGCTTGAACACAAACATCCCTGTGGGTATTCTCATGATACTGATAGCTGCTCTCTTCTCATCACTCGCCGTCATGTCTCTGGTCATGTTCAAAAAGGTCAGTGAAAGACGCACATTACATTTCGTTTTTGTCGAGACTCCTCCGGCTCTGTCTTTTTTAAAAGAAAATAACCGTTTACATTTTGTGCCCTCACCAGGTCCATGCGATGTACCGGACCACTGGAGCTAGCTTTGAGAAGGCGCAGCAAGAATTCGCCACCGGAGTCATGACAAACAAGAACGTTCAAACGGCGACGGCTAAAGCTGCTTCTACGGCGGCGCAGGAGGCCTTCAGGGAGCAGGTCTGATCCAAGAGCCTCCGGACTTCTCTCTCTCTCGCCTTCACCGAGCCAAATGCCCTGCACACAGTATTCCTGCCTCTGGCCTAAATGTGGGCCCTACAGTCGGTACAGTTGCCTCATGTTTATACCATCAGAAACTATCAGCTGAGGCTTTGTCAACGGTGGTTCTGATTTACCGTATCTGCCTCGGCCTCACTGTGCACACTCGGGGAGTCAGCACTGGTTCTGCACTTTGGTCTCATTTACCCCCTCTCTCTTCTGTGTGTATGTGTTCTTTTTCTGTGGTCTACAATGGAGAAGAGGAAAAAAAATATATATAAATATATATATTTATATTGAGTGACTGCTTCGACTCATTCTCTTTGTAAAAGTTCAAATCATTATTCAATTCAATTCAACTTTATTACAGACTGTTTGTCCAATTAAAAACAGAAAAGATAATTATGACTTTGACAGCTGTACCAGTTAAATGATTTGGTTTTTATACCATTTTATTAATGCAGGACATTTCTGTTGCTTAAACAGGCTCTTCTTGAAAATTAAATTCTAAGTCTCTGATATCGACAATACGTGGATAATGATAAACCCAAATGGGCTGATTATAATTGTCTCCTGAGCCATTTGATTAAGTTGAGTACATTTTCACCATATTTCCTTTTTACAATCATGGAATAATCCTGCAATGCTATAATTATGAACAAAACTCCAACAGACTGGAATCAAAGAGGGAAAAAAATAAATCTTGAAACAACATTCATGAGGTTATTTACAGAAATCTGCCATCTTTAAAGGTATATAGGAGGATTTTCCCTAATTTTAGGAAATAACTGCCCTCTCCACTTTTTGAACAAAACTCTCTGGTCTTATTTGACGAACACAAATCAGCAGAATGATTGATAATTGGGAGGACCAATTGTCTTGATGATTCACCCGGACGTAGAAAATCCTCATATATACCTTAATTATAAAACTTGCATTATGGATACATATTACCCAATATTAAAATACTTGATGTGTTTGCAGTGTAGTAGATACAGGTTGAGAACCACTGATTTATTGGATCATAAATCAATCAGCTTTTCTCTGTACTGAATTTATCAAATGCAACCAGCTTTAGATCTTTGTGTGGAAAAAAACAGATGAAATAATGTATATTTTGTATAATTACCAGCTTTGTAAGTATTGAATGTCGTTGTCAGCACAAGCCAGGTACTTTTGTATATTTATTCCTTCCAAACTGAATAAAAGGTTGGTTTTCTGCAAATGTACTTCCTTTTCTTTCTTTTTGCAGACACATGTAGTGTCAGACTAAACTCTGTAGAGGGCAGCAACTCCACAGAAAATGGGGAGAACGCTTCAGGTTGAAGGCTTTAAGCATCAGCTGAAAGTTATAGGGCTATAAGACTTTCCAAATGTGTGCTAATTAATAAGAGTTATAATCCATCTATCCATTTTCTTCCCCTTTATCCATTCCTGGGTCGGGGTTGGCAGTCAGAGCTGCACCCAGTACAGTGATTCTCACTGATCCTCCTGCAGGTGGTGAGTCCACAGGAGCTGAGATCTTTCAGTGGGGGCTTCAGGCAAAGTGGGGTTAAGTGTCTTGCCTAGGACACAAGAACAGCAGTCATCAGTGGGAGTCGTGAAGTAGGTCTTGTAGTGGGCTCGAACCCACGACCTTCAGGCCTAAAGGCCAATACTTTACCAACTGAGCCACTGTCGCCACTAATCCATCTACTGTTTATCAATAAAACCAGTATATTAATGTTTGAAAATGTTTAAACTACTGAAACAATCCTTGCATGTGCTTTCCATTGAGTCTAAAACTAGGGCAATACTGAAGCCTCTGGCAGTGAAGACTGCTGTTGTGCAGCACTGATTTCTCTGTGCCTAATCTGGAAGTCATCACGCTGTTTAGATTGAGCTCTGGTGGAGAAAGGAGCCACAGGGTTGTCAGAGGCCTTGTCGTGGTTCACATAAAAGCAGGAACATCTGTGCGGAAACTGGCAGATCTTTAATTGCACTTACACAAGGTTTGAGGACGAGTTTCATGGTTAACTTTAAGAAAGTAGCAAACGCATGAGAGCAGTGTTTTGTTTCAATAGAAACAGATTTTCCACATACATCTTCATTGTGTCTTGTGTTTATGGAAGAATACATGATGACAATGAGACAGCCTTGTTCTTCCCTTCTCTTTATTTGTTTGACAGAAACAAACTGGAATGACAAAACATGACTAGACAAACTCCAGTTTGCTGGTTGGACAGAGCTCCCTGAAATTAGACATTTGAAAATAACAGCAACAATTAGAAAATATCTCCTTCCTCATTGTTCAGTTCATATACTGTATTTGGGCACATACAAAGGCCCGGTCACACACGGGATCCAGACAGCCTTATAGATCCAAGATCACTTCATTTATAAACTAGAGAACAAACAATGCATCAGAGCTGGCTTTGTTTCCACTTGTGCAGTCCATATGTTTTATATATTTATATATACACACACAATTAAACATCTGCAATCATTCAAAGGACAGTACATTCTCTTAGCTTTAAGGACATCCACTCGAGACAAGGCAATGAGTAGTTAACTGAGTAGTGGTTTCCTTGTTATTACACACTTGGCACGTGAGAAGAGATCCAGGTTTGCTGGTCGTATGGTCTGGTGACAAGATAAAAACACCAGTGTTTAAGGCATCAGTGACATAATCAGCCCAGCCTGGATCATGCTGATCAGCATTCTGCATCATCATTGTACAAACAAATCTAATTACACACATTTACTGGTCATAGGACAAGACGAGACAAGACAGAAGGACGCTGCAGCTCTAGTGGCGGCAAGACAATGAACAACATGTAGTATTTTCCCCACACAAAGAATTAGTCTTAGTGGTACACAACACAGTGGCCTTATGGGAACAGAGCACAAGGGCAAAGGTTGTATCAAAGTGCCTAGAGGAGGCAGATCAGGCTCTTGCCCTCCTCGATCTCCTCCTGGACTTTATCGCTGGACGTGGCGATCTCGGCTTGAGCGGAGAACACGGCACAGACGAAGGTGAGCACCGTGCCGCCCATCGCCGTGTAGAAGGCCCAGCCCATGGAGCAGAGGCCGGCGCGGTACGGGGCCGCGTCAGGACCACAATACAACTGCACTTTGTCTGAACCCCAGCCAGCAGGGTACAGCATGAGCCCCAGGATGAGAAACAAGCCTGCAACACACACAAAGAGCCCAATACATCATGTGATTTACAGAATCATTTTAACATTCAATAACATGCTTATCACTTGTTCACTATGCATTATGTAAGACACCTGGTTTGAGATCTTGGTAGACCTCAGAAGCTTAGCAGGAGCTTAGTTAGTGATGGGAGACCTCTGGGAACACCAGGTGCCACAGTGAGGCGGCTGCGGCTTCACCCACTGTTGGGATGAATAATCACAGATATCCTGTGTGTCCTGTCTTGTGTGTGAGTGTGGCTTATTTACTGTTGTCTCTGGACGTATCTTGTAACTTTGTTCAGTCTAAATTGATTTATGCCTATTATATTAAGCCTCAACTAGATTCTCGTTATATCAATCCCATTGAGTAAGAGTCGGGTGTGTGCATGAATGGTTGGTGGTGGTCAAAGGGGCAGATGGCATATACTGGTTACTTTACTTCCGTCAGTCTGACCCAAGGCAGCTGCGGCTACAGTATTAGTTTATCAGTTTAAGTGTATGGAGTGATCGAGTAGTCAGGTGAAGGGTCCAAAAAAGCGCTGAACAAAATTATCAGTATTGATGGTGGTAGTAGTGGTAGTAGTAGTAGACCCAAAAACAGAAAAAGTTCAACTGTAATCATATCCAGGCCACTTGTATGGCTCTTTCATAATAATTCCCCACTTCGATTTTGAAATCTAACCCTAAAAGGGACTTACTGTATTTAACATTTCTATATTCTTTTATTGTTTTCACCAATGCTAAACATAAACTTCAATAGAATCTGTATAAAGGAAAACACTTCTCAATTTTACTTTGGCAGCACAAAGACAGTCCAAATTATAACCCCATTAGTGATGTCTGCAACCCCAAAACGTTTCCTGTTCTGTGCCGTTCAGATTTAACCAATTCAAGAGGAAATGTGTCTCAAGACTGACTTATGTTTTAATCAATACCAGCGTAGGGCAGACAACAGGAAAGTGGCTCCTATGAGATTTCCCTCTAGACGGATGGGGTCTCTCCCTGACCTACTTCTACTACCTTTTCCGACACATATTCTGTAGACGGCCTTCTCTCTCTCTCTCTCACACTTTAATCTTTGAAATGAAAATGATAATGTAAAAGAAAACTGGACATTATTTTGCATTATTGCTTGATTTGATTTATTTTTAATCGTTCTGAGTTCCATATGCTTTGGTACACTGGCAAAAGAAGATGAAAAATAAGTAAAAAATTGCTGAAAATTGGCATAATGTATCTTAATTCTCACAGATTTTGACTGCAAGATTTGCCAAAGGGACAAAGCAAAATTATCTTGTTTTAAAAAGATTCAAAAATGTCTCCCTTGGACTAAGTTGCTTTGTCCCATTGGCAAATCAAATTGAAATGAACTCAAATTAAGTTGAAAACCACTCGATTCACACAATTATGAACATTTTTTGCAGTTTTTTAAACATATATTGTTATTGTTTGTTACTAAATCAAGATAAAGTACTATTTGTCCCATATCACATGTACTGGAATAATGATAATAATAATACATCATACTTTTATAGGGCTTTTTTAGACACTCAAAGGCGGTAGAATACTTGAATAGAAAAGAAAAAGAATACCACTTTATCTAATGTTTGTTTTTCCCTAAAGGAACAAAGCCCTTTTTACAACGTAATAATGTCTGGTAATGTTTTCTCTCTGCGAGTCATTGCTAAGTGTGCCATTTCATAGTACCTCTCCTGCTAAATTTCCCCTAATCTTTGCCCCTCCTCCTCCTCCCTTCTTCTCCTCTCCTCTCATTCTCTTAGAGCACCAATATTGTATTAAACAAGGAAATGAAAAGTAGGTCATAAATTCTTTCCACATGTTGCACAGCTCACGTCCAGACCGGCTTCAGTGATGGATTGAAGGTATGGTTCTAATTCCCAGCCCCTCCTAATACGCACAACGCTCTGAGTCATACACACACACACCCACACACACACACACACACACACACACACACCCTCTTTCTACCCCTCTGCCCTTTACCCTCCCCAGCACCACAGCTCATTCTGTCCTGGCTCTTGTCACAGATCACTTCTCAACCTTATCTTCAAAAACCGCTAGGTGCCTCCTCACCGCCCAGACAGAAAACAGTAATGTTTCCCAGCAGGCGTCCGTATCACTCGAAAGAAAATGTTGCTTTTTTGATTTTTTTTTAGAAAACAGTGGCTGCGTCCACCTCCAAAGAGAAGAAACAGGAGATGACAAGGGGAAAGGAGCTGAAGACAAGGCATTCGTGATTACAATACATGGTGGGCTTCGCTGAAAAAGTGCATATGGTCTATCAAAACTAAAACAAGAACTTGAAATAATAGCAGGTTAGAAATTAGATCACAAAAGTCTTGATCCATCTTGGTGTCACTAACTACAGTGATTTTACTTCTCTATAACATAAACACAACTATAGGCGGGAGACATTAATGATATTAATACTGTCTGTAATTAAATAATTGAAATTTAAAAGACCATATATATTTAAAGACCAATGCCAGGCACAGTTAAGGACCTTGCAGATGCATTGTTAAAGTAGAAATAATAACTATTTACTTCATGTCATGTTTTCGGAATGTGAAATTATATCTCCAGTAGATAATGGTCACGGCCTGCAAATCCCTATGCTACCACTAGAGGGAGGTGTCATATTTCAGGGGGGTTTTTTATTTGAAAATTCACGGTTGCAAACACAGCAATGTGATTGCAAATACTGGAATTTACCTTGAGAAATTGCCAAAACTAATCTATGGGCACAACATTTGAGAAATTGGCTCTGAGCATGATGTCATAGGGGTACAATGACATCATGCTGTTACGGGACGGACACAGAAGTTACATGTCTGTGCCAGAAGTTCCTGATGGTAGCATGGATGGATCTAAAAACAATTTCAGGTCTGTTTTTGATGAGGAACAATGTTGTATCATGGTTAAAAGCTCAAACAAGTCCATCTAACCTAACCTAACCCAGCAATACGGCCATGCTGGTTAGACTTTGAGGGTCAAGTAAATTGCAAAAAAGTAACAGTGTTTTGGGAGTATTTGATGAGCTGTACAATAATGTGTATAAACACGGTTCAATCAGGGATAAAGAAATGATTCTCTCAGACTTTGTCAGGGTCAAAGTACAGCGCACTTATTGTCAATGATATTATTGTAAAAGTGACATGAGTGACCGATACTGTCTAATGAGGGTTGTCCGAGAATTTAGTTTTTATGATCAGTCATAAAAACATACAACAGCCACACAAAGAGCAGGTGACATGTTTACAACTGTCTTTGTTTGACGTCTGGTCTCTTAACTCCACTCGGTCTTTGAATTTGTCACCCTGGGAGATTAGTGGGGAAAGTATTCCAATAAAAGTCAAACTACACAACGGTTTTTACGTTTAGTTTTCATATTTTAACCAGTCTAATATGTCTAATGTGTCACAGTGGGATTTCATATGAAGTAAAAATTGCAGAAGAGCAGTCTCAAAGCTGGGGTACCTAATTTTTTCTTTCATTAAAACACATTTTGTTTGACCTCAGAAGAAAGTCTCTTATCAACAAATCAGACCACAACAAACTGCCTTAATCGTGGGAAAACATACTTTGCGTACTAGAGCCTTGTGAGTCACTGTTGGATGCTTTTTGCTGAGAGTGAAGGTGGTTCTCTATTTTTCACTTATCGGTTTGAAAAAGTGAGTCACTGTTCAATCTATTCAACACAACAGCAGTCATCTCTGAGAACTTTACAAGGTTGTCGATTCACTAACAAGAGATCAGAGAATCTAACAGTTCAAACAGAGACAATTTAATAACACATCCATAGATGTCCATATATTGTGTATTTTCCAATATGTGAATATGCTGGAGTTAGCCTTTTGATGCAGGAAGGTCTAAGGACAGTAATGATTTGGGACCTTCCTGCATCACAAGGCTAACTCCAGCATATTCACATATTGGAAAATACACAATTCAATAGTTGTGCATAGTCAGAATCTTCTGGCCCCTGGTATTTCAATGGCCCTATGTGTTTTTATCATAGCATTTCTTGTGTTGAACTGATTCTTTGATCTGTGTTAAGTCCTTCGAGATAACTACTGTTATACATAAATAAATGGAATTGAATGTTCCAGCTTCTTCCCTCTGGCAGAAGATATCGTTCACTGAGATGCAGGACATCTCGTTATGCTGACAGCTTGACTTTTGCACATGCATTCCAATGTGGTTTTACTGCAAATGGCAAATAAACTGAATCTGATCTAAAACAAAAACCGGAGGAAGGTCTCTCTGAGCAGACGCTGTATCAATAATGGCAGAGATAGCTAAGGATGATTGGCATTGGAAAAACTGGAGCATAAGCCAGTTGGCGATGGGACGGCAGCTTGTTTGTGCTTATCTCATCCTGCAGTCCAGATGAAGAGAAGCGGTCATTTTTTTCCAGAGCCACAAAGGAAATCCAACTGCTGCTGTGTTTGAACCTCCAGTCGCCTCTTCCTCCTCCTCCACATCCTCACCACTCCACAATGAGCAGTCTACACATTTTACTTCCTCAGTTTCATTATCAACTAAACGTTTGATATAACAGGAAATAGCCACAGAAGAGAGCTGTTAATAAAGGCACACACAAAGAGCATAAATGTAACTAATAATCTGGAAATACACGGTCTGGTTGTGTGTTGAAGCCCTTGAGCTAAGGGTTACTATTTAGCCTGGACTTCACCACACACCCACCTTTTTGTTTAAGCATGAACCAAATAAACAACTGAGGGGGAGGACAGCCATAATCACCAGAGACCAAAAAGTCCCAGTCTGTAAAACAGAGCAGAATGAGCTCATAACCTCCAGTGCTCACTACAGCAGAGGGACAACCAGTGGTCTGCAACACAATGGAGATATCTAGTGTTATAATGAATTGTACTGAGTTGATCAGAAGGCTTGCAGAAAGCTCAGGGCAGAGAAGGTAAATATTTATATGGAGGCTTTTGTGTCATTGTGAAAATCTGTACTTCATGGCGCCTTCAGTGAGCAAACACATCATTCAGGCAGTAGGAGTTGTGGTGCGCTAAATGAATGAGTTCAACTGAAACCAACATTTTTCATTTAACGTATTGAACTCTGAGACCACAGGAATGAAGGGAAACAATAACAGTTTCTGTTGAGATCTATTGAGATAAAAGAATAGTGTGTTGTTCTCACCTGCTATCCCTTGCAACAGTCCACAGACATTGAAGATGCTCTTCTTCATGATGCTTTGGAAGCACATGGTGAAAACAGATATGAACGCCACTGCACACAGGAGAAGGATTCCTGCTGCCAGGAAGATGGATGTTGCTTGCCAGAACCCGCTGGCGATCTCCCCAAAGTGTACAGCATACGGTCCGCAGAGGATGCCCCTCTGCAGGTGGGGCAGTTTGATACAGCGGCCGTAGATTCCGAGTGTGGGCCTGTAAGCCTCCCCTGCAGTGGTCGCCCCATGGGGGCCAAAGACCGCATCAGGGGTACGAGGATATCCCACCAGCCAGTCCGTGCTCATGAAGGCGATGAGCTCCCCAAACGCAGCCACGATACTGAGCAGAGTCCACAACATGGAGCGGCAGGTGACAATGACATGGCACATGGTGAGCGTCTGAAGAGGACGTGTCAAAGTTCTGCTGAAGGAGAGTTTGAGCACAAACCCTTTACATAAGAGAAGACCGGAGCGTTCAGAGTCAGCAGCAGCTGAATGCTGAAGTCTGTTGCTGTTCTTTGATTCTTTGGTCCTTAGACTTTTGTGTCTTATTTTCGGTGTCTACATTGTACTCGAGGTGAATTCCTTGAGCCAGCCCGCTGGCATCACATCAGACACCTACAAGACAAAAAACAGGGAAAGAAAATCAAAGTTAGTTTACAAATTCTTTAAAGAAAAAAAGCAGCTCAGAGTTTTGTGACATCATAGACACAGAGCAGAGGGAAGTCGTTTCTGAATGTGTGACGACAGCATAATGAGTCAGGGAATGAGGATAACACATTCACACACACACACACACACACACACATTCACATGCACACAAACTGCCCCACAAAGTGAAACGGTTTGAAGCCTAACTGAGATGTGGATGCAGATAAAGACACAAAACAAACCAGGGCCCCTGGTCCATACAGCTGACCTGAGGTCAGCCCAAGGCAGATAATCCATTCTGCTGTCATGTGACCGCTGATAACCTCTGACATCAGCAGTGTAACTGCAGCATCAGGGACTTCACACTGAGGGAACAATGGACACTACATCCTCCACCAGAGCAGCAAGCAACTTTAGGATTCTGGACAGTTTTTATGATTCAACTGCATTTCTCTGCACGTTCTCCTTTAAAGACAAAGCTGAGAGCATTGCATTGTGGTCAGTGTGAGTGTGTAGACTACAAGCCATTAAAGTATTAACTTTCCTTTGATTACAGGAGAAAATGTTTATGTGTGACTCAGTGTGGTACCTGGTTGTCTGTGGACCAGACTTAAATAATTGAACAGTGTGTTGTTGAATTATGGTTGTGAGGGGATCTGGCCTAACACTGAAATGATGTGATTTGGTTTAAATAAACTTTGGGAATCAAAAAAACCTGACCCTCCAAACCCATTTCTGATGTCATCTGCTTTCTGTAAAATCATACTCCACCCTGGGGCTCAGACCATTGAAATGCTCTTGGATGTAGGTCAAACATTTGTTAGCCAGTTGCAAACAACACTTTGTCACTGACAGAAATATCGTTGTAAAACTTTTTATGTCTCAAACAATTTAGAGCATCTGTTAAGAGTCGTCAATGAAACACTTTGAAATGCAGGAGATTAAACTTTTGGCCTCTGGGGGAGACTGACTTGAAGGCATTGCTATGCTTTATGCTATTGTGAAAAGTAATTCAGATTAAGATTAAGAGATCCTATATTTGTTTGTATATCAATCTCAAATTTGGTTTAGTCAGAATCAGAATCAAAATAATTTTTATTGCCACGAAAGTAACAGGAAGTCACAGACTTAGAAATTGCTTTGGCTCAGTGCATCAGTCAGAAAAGAGAGGTAGAGAATAGAGTAAGGCATAATAAAAATCAGCAACACTTCTAAGGTATAAAATTTAAAATAGAATTATTACAATTACAATGCGACAGTAGCTCAGGGGCGACAGTAGCTCAGTTGGTAGAGCATTGGCCTTTGGGCCTGAAGGTCGTGGGTTCAAGCCCACCGTAAGACCTACTTCACGACTCCCACTGATGACTGCTGTCGTTGTGTCCTTGGGCAAGACACTTAACCCCACTTTGCCTGAAGCTCCCACTGAAAGATCTCAGCTCCTGTGGACTCACCACCTGCAGGAGGATCAGTGAGGGGCTGGTGCCAAGTGTACTGGGTGTAGCTCTGACTGCCACCCCCCCGACCCAGAAATGGATTAAGGGGAAGAAAATGGATGGATGGATGGATGGACAATTACAATGTACGTGTAACGGTCACACGCGGCTCAGACGGCTGCTGTCACCAGATGCACTGAATAGTTACTCAACATATGCGAAGGTAAATTTATACTATGCGAGTACCCAAGAAGGAGAAGGGAGATTACTTCAGGATCAAATTACACCGAGAACTCATCACTGAACCCAACACTCTCAGTTCGACACATGCAGCCTCAACCTGAAGTGAAACTCTGTTCATGACGGAGCTTTCACTTATCAAATCAACAGCAGGAAGTGGCTTTCCACACAGCCACCGTCAGGAAGCAATCGCCATGAGTATATGGACATGCCTTCACCGAGGCCAGCGTCACAAAGGCCAGCATTTGTACTGGGATCACATGATGACGACGGCTACACAACTCTCCAGTGGACAGAGTAAAGAATGTGGAACCCCCACTTTTGAACAGGATCAAATATTGTGCAAACTAAAGATGGAACATTGGATTCTCTTTCACTCATTAGTTTATCAATGAACTATTAATTCAGGAGTCTCCAAAGCTCATAAACCAGAGACCAGAAGCTTATGATCTTCTTCCAAGTTCCTCCCCAAAGGTTTTCGCAATTACTCGCTGAATATCTAACATTTTAGGATTCACATTCGAACATTTAGAACAGTGGTTATGAATCCTGTTATACAAAAATAACATATTATTGGAGTCTGAACGATCCTTTATTTTGAAAAATGTTATTCAAACCTTACGCCTGTCTGAATATGAGATTTCAGTTTCATGCAGACAGTGTTCAGACCGGTCTCCGCTGGGGGACAGTGACAGTCTCTGCTCTCACATATTTATTCCCTGCTCTTAAGTTTACAGCTCCCAGACCCTCCTCATGTCACTCCTTTCTCTGCACCTTTCACTCCGATTGGCCAAAGCAAAAGTTGGAACAATGCTCTCAGTGAGGGTCCACACGGTGGCCATATTCTTGTGCTGAATCTAGGTTAAAACAACAGAAGTTCTAACCCCTAAAGCATTGTCATTTTTTACATTTACATCTTTATCAACAACCATATTTGGTCATCACACAACAATAATAACACCCATTTTGATCTAAAACTTGAACACTTTGTTTTCTGTTTAGAACACAACACACAAGCCCTAGTCTGATGAGATAATTAAATACACAGCAGCCTCTTTTAGATAGAGGTCTGGTAAGTTTACTGTCTCACCTATGGCTTACGGAGTCTTGCTGATGACAGTTTTTCAGCATTACTTGAAAGTTATTAAATGGTTGCATGATGCCGACGAGGCACTTAGCCCGAGTCTTCCCTGGTTTGTTGTGTTCACTCACATGAGGCACAAATGAGTTCCATATGAAAACCGGGACGACTTAATCAGGGAGGGAAAGGGAACACAGCTTGCAAAACTGCCCTGATTAAGGTTCAGAAAAAGTAAACGGCCTTGTTTGGATTGTCACCTGCCGCATTCTGACTTTAAACTACCGCGACTCATACAGACAACATTTCACACAAACACATTTAATCTTCAGAACTTCAAATACCCACAACAACTTGACCCTCTTCATCAACGCTGGCATCTCCATCTGTGATCTGGTGATACTAACGTCTTTCAGACATAAAAAAAACTATTTGTTTGTCATTGAAAGCCAGGCATCGTTCTAACAGCCGAGTGAAGATGGTCTGGGAAATGTCTTTTGGCAGCGATCAGACTCTGGACACAGAACAGACCCTCTCTTCAAAGTGCAAGCATAAGCCCCTCTGTCTGAAGGCAGCTGCTGGTTCATCTTTATTTATCTGCCACATTACATTTGTTTGTCATGTTCGAAAATACAGCCTGAATCTTATCTTATCTTCATGATTACAGCGCTTAAATCAATTAATGTATACCGCACCGCTGTCAGACTGTAAGTTACTTTACTTACTGATTGTAACACTGGCAGGCTAGGGCGCTGACCGCAATGTACAACAGAACTAGATCCGGCCACGGAGCCAAGTGTGTGACAAAATAACCACCAAGATCACGTTTAGAGCTCTATAAATCAATGTGTATTATAAATGTTATATGTTAACCAGGTATGAATAATAGACTGAATATTTAGACTTTAATGAGCTGCACTAGGACTGAACACACTCACTCTCACTTTCAATTTTTACTGTACATGATATATCTTGGACTAAAGAGACTATAATGTAACCTTTTTAACATGTTTGCACACTTCCTGTCTTTTTGCACACCCTGAGTGATTCAATCTATCCCACAAAAATGTGACATGTACATTTATCCATTTTGAGATCAATGAAGTTTTCTGTTATCTTATCTTATATACAATTTGCTGTCAGAGGTTCAGTTAGAGATCAATATTCGGGCATTTCTAACTGTCAATTATGTGCAAAGTTTGTGACAATAATTATGATTCATCTGATTTAATGCATGCCTTTCAATAGAATAAAAAACATCACATGAAATATAAAAAATACAGAATGAGAAAATACCCTACCACTAAAAACAAGTACAATAGGTCTGGCATGCTCTTTCTGTATGGTGACCCCGCTTCCATCTCGGTGTGGGGTCAGAGACAAATGTTCACCACAATTGTAGATCTGTTTGTGACTTTGGTCTGTGAAAGGCGCTGTATAAAAAAAGATTACTTCTACTTGCTTAAATTCATGAGGGTATTACTGTAGAAAAGTATGGCCCCTCCCCCTGGTCAGAGGCGCATGTGGCCAGAGTAAAATCCCGCCATGAGTTGGAGCATGGATGAACCAAATGCAACAAAGCGGTTTGTACAGTGCCAGAAACAACCAATTTGACACAACAGTAAATGTTTGACTTATTCAAACTGAAGTCTCCTCATAAATCATGGGCGTGCCTCGGATGTCTCCATGTGCTCCTAATCTTGATGCGTTTTCAAGCTGTGTGTGTTACGTCAGCCCACAATCCGGTCATCCTCCAGAGAGAGAGAAACCTGGGCTTACTCCCCCCTGAAAAATGGAGACGCCAGAAAAAAGAAAGAAAAAAAAAATGTGCAGATGGAACGGTTTGATTGTAGATTATGGAATTTTCCAGTTGCGGAAAGTAATTGAAAAGCTCTGTGTGGTGACGTGTAACCGTACTGTAACCCGCAAGTGCAGAGATCACGAGAAAAGAGCCAGTGAGTCACCTGCACTGCAAAAAGGGGTGAAAAAGAAGTCAAAAGATTATGATTATTACCATTATCCAGTATTTATCTGTCCCACACTGTGAAAAATTATAAAATATGAGTTAATAAAAGCAAGTGGTTTGTGTCTTAATTTCAGTACATTCTTTTAGCTTCGCTCTGTTTAATGCACTGTGATTATTAATGATTTTACTGCCTTTGTGACGGTCTCTATCCTGTGTTGTTAAGCACTTTGAGATGCCCCGTTTTTATGAA